CACAGACACACAGATAGAGACACACACAGACACACAGAGAGAGACACAACACAGACACACAGAGAGAGACACACAACATAGACACACAGAGAGACACAACACAGACACACAGAGAGAGACAACACAGAAACACACAGGGAGAGACACAACACAGAGACACTGAGAGAGACAACACAGAGACACACAGAGAGAGACACACAACACAGACACACAGAAAGAGAGACACACAACACAGAGACACACAGAGAGAGACACACAACATAGACACACAGACAGAAACACAAGCAGAGAGAGACAACACAGAGACACAGAGAGAGAGAGACACAACATAGACACACAGACAGACACACAAGCAGAGAGAGACAACACAGACACACAGATAGAGACACACACAGACACACAGAGAGACACAACACAGACACACAGAGAGAGACAACACAGAAACACACAGGGAGAGACACAACACAGACACACTGAGAGAGACAACACAGAGACACACAGAGAGAGACACACAACACAGACACACAGAAAGAGAGACACACAACATAGACACACAGAGACGCAATGTGTCTGTTTCGAGGTCTTAAATAGAGAGAGAGATGGGGGGGGGGGCAGAGAGAGAGGTGGGTCTGGCAGAGAGAGAGAGAGGTGGGTCTGCTGGTCTTCCTTACCAGGTAAGAGCTACATCGCAGTTCAGTGGGGTCTTCCTGAGCTGCGATGTAGCTCTGTTTTTCAGAAGCCACCTCGCTTAAACAAATGATAGCTCAACGAAGTGGTGGCGTATCGTCGTCGTCATCATCGTCATCACCACGTGGAAATGTTATAAGCGGCAGGCAGCCAAATGCTCTGAACGCGCGATGTTGATTTTAAAATGTGGAGGGGGACAAAAGACGCAGGACCCATGGAGAAAAATCCACGCGACCACAGGGGGAGAGACAAAGAGAGACACGCAAACTCCAAATATACAGCAGGCGTCAGGGTCGGGATAGAACCCACGACCTCCTGTAGATATGGCGAGGTAGTTAACATCTCCTAGCCACCGTGATGATGAGAGAGAGACGCAAACTCCAAATATACAGCAGGCGTCAGGGTAGGGATCGAACCCACGGCCTCCTGTATACCAGGCGAGGTAGTTAACATCTCCTAGCCACCGTGATGATGATGATGAGAGAGAGAGAGAGACACGCAAACTCCAAATATACAGCAGCAGGCGTCAAGGTCGGGATCGAACCCACGACCTCCTGTATACCAGGCGAGGTAGTGAACATCTCCTAGCCACCGTGATGATGATGAGATAGAGAGAGAGACACGCAAACTCTAAATATACAGCAGGCGTCAGGACCGGGTTCGAACCCACGACCTCCTGTAGACGTGGCGAGGTAGTTATCATCTCCTAGCCAGCGTGATGATGAGAGAGAGAGAGAGACGCAAACTCTAAATATACAGCAGCAGGCGTCAGGGTAGGGTTCGAACCCACGGCCTCCTGTATACCAGGCGAGGTAGTGAACATCTCCTAGCCACCGTGATGATGATGAGCGAGAGAGAGAGAGACACGCAAACCCCAAATATATAGCAGCAGGCGTCAGGGTCGGGATCGTTCCCACGGCCTCCTGCATACCAGGCGAGGTAGTTAACATCTCCTAGCCCCCCCCCCTCTCCATGATATGTCCACGTGCTTGAATCAAGCCGCGGCACCAATGCGTGGCAATTCATTACCGAATGGCTGGGAGTGTGAATCAACGCGTTCCTCTCGCTCATTGAGACTGCCCGTGTGTTCACACAATTCGTCCGATCATTTGCCCCACGCTCCACCGGTGTGTGTGTGTTTACAAAGGCTATTGTGTTGGATTGCATTGTGCTTGAAGCTGGCTCCCGTGCAAAACAACCACCGCCTGATTGCACGAGAGAGGGAAAGTGATGGAGGCCAATCGGTGTCCGTGTTTGAGATGTTTACCCACCTGACGTCACTCGCCGTGGCCTTTGTATCTACGGGGAATATTTTTGTTTGCTGGTATAACAATGAGATGGAAAAAAAAGTTGTTCAATGCACGCACTTTTATTTGCACTCAAAAGTAGAAAATACGTTCTTTTCACCCCAGTGTTTGCGAACACTTTTCGTCAGCACATTAAATGCTATTCATTTCTGGGGGAGCGGGATAATTTGTCTACTTTTGAGTAAAAATAAAAGTTTGTGTGCATTTCAAAACTATAATTTTTTACCTTTTTTTTTGGCCAGGATAACAATGATTTAAAAAAAAATGCTTTACCCTTACTGGTAAAATATTAAAAACACCCAATGGATGCCTATTATTTAGGTATCAAGTCTGCATGAGCCACACACACTCGTGGCAAAACATGCAAACAAACACGTTCTGATAATTAGATGAAAAATAGACGCATTGTCTTTGAAACTGATTGGCCTACACCAGAGACGACACAGACAGCTGCATGGCCCTGTCTTACCGGTGTTAGACAAGAATAAACTTCATGTGTCCCATTGCGTTCGCTACACTAATCAATTTTAATTTACAGGCCTCGCTCAATCCACCGCTGGATAAAGGCCATGCCACGTATTCCGCGGTGGTTGTATGTATGTTGAACTTTTGTCGCACCGTACGTAGCCAACCGTGCGTGCCGCTGTTGTGATATACTTCACCGCGATGGTCAGTGGCGGAGGGGCGGGGGGTGGAGGACGTGCCCGCTACTTCCCACAGATGTTAGTCGTAGGGCGCCAGGAATTTAACTCAGGCACGTGGTGGTGGCATGTTAGCGCGTACATGTCGTGCTGGAAGGGATAAGTGGCACCAGCCACTCAGGGGAACGTCCATAAATGACGTCACGCACCTGGGGGGGGGGGGGAGGGGATCAGATATTTGTGACGATGTGTGACGAGGGGGAGGGGGGGTTTGAGAAATGTGACGTCACATCAAAATGCGCAACTTTAAATAAATATAGAATTGTTATAACAACACTAATTGTTATGACAACACTCCTACAACATCAAAGTGCAGCGCAACATTAAATACGCACTCCAATGACAATAGTTTGAAGCGATTTGAAGCATGTTTTATTTTCAAAATGGAAATATGGTTTTTGGGGGGGCGGGGGAAGAGCTTTGTGACGTCATATTTGAGGGGGGGGGGTCTGACTTTTGTGACGCCCCAAAATCGTGTGACGTCATTTATGGACAACCACTCAGAGGGAGTTCGAGTGAGCCCCTGGAAGAGGATATTTTGGCCCCCCCATTCTGCCACGTCGGCCTAGACATCGCGGGACATTAATTATCGTGGCCATGCAACCCAAACTATGGACCCATATAGTACAGGGTGGTCCAGGTGTCTTGTGACCCCCCCAATTATTTGAACCCTAGCATTTCCCCCCCACTTTGCACATTCATTTATATCTTAAATAAATCTTACTTTTAAAAAAATAAACATATTACGTTTTAGAGAATTAAATGTAGTCTCACAAGACATCTGGACCACCCTGTAAGTCCGCTGTTGTCTGCGCTCCTTCAACGGAGGAGGAAGGGGAACAGCGACACGACACGAACTCTCTCTCTCTCTGCTGAACCCCTCTCGTCGTGGCGAGCAATGAACACGTCGCCAGCGCCACATGCAACACGGGCACCACGTGCACACACTGAGATCTCAATATCAGTGAGATCCCATGGCCGTTATCAGCGGCGCCGTTCCGACATTCCCCGGCGAACACAGCGGGTGCAGTTGAACCCTGCCCAGTCTCCACACCTCTCCGTGTCTTTGCCCGTGCTGCGTACAGTTGATGTGGGTAGATGTGATTGGCTTCATTGGAGCCAAAGAGCCCGAGGGAGCTCAGCGGGGAAGCAATGATGGTGGCTTTAATAGACCCACATCACAGAGTGTGGACTACTTCACTGCCATTATTGCTTGAGCAATGACAGTGGCTTTAATAGACCCACAGCACAGAACTTGGACTGCAACTTCACTGGCATTATTGTTCGGATATCGTAAATGAAAAAAGGATAAAGGCGCAGCCGTGCAATGTCGTGCTCACGCCACTGCTGGTGGAAGGGCTCACACTAGACGGAGCTCTGGATTTTTGTCGACTCTTTCACGCTGGTATTCTGGGGGTCTCGAGCTGAAGATTTAATGGGATTGAGGGAGGGGAGCTCGAACCATGGACCTGCCATTGGGGAGAGAACTTGAGTGAGGCAGAGAGAGAGGGAGGGATTTTTTTTAATGAATTCATCCAGGAAATCCACACTGAGTCTGAAGACTCAGGAAGCTCCTGCCTTGGTATGTGCGGCCAATTGCCTTTGTTTCATGAGTGCTGTGTGCATGGCATCGAACTGGAGTAAAATGTAAAGGTTTCAGCCCTGCAGTTTCTTTCTCACGTCACTGCTGGCCGATGAGCGTCCACTCAGAGGCCCTTGGTAAAAGATGATAACCTTGGAAACGTTTCCCGAATAGCTACACAAAGCGCCAGTTTGCGGTGTCTCTCTCCCTGCCGTCGAGTGGATTTTTTTCCCCGTGTCGTCCGGTTTTTCCCCTCCACGTTTAGAATCGACGTCACGTGTTCAATGTATTTAGCTGCTGCTATAAATGTCCACGTGATGATGATAAGCCACCTCGTCGAGTTATAATTTCAAAGAGCTTCATAGCTGAGTGGGGCCTTACTTGGTAAAAAAAAAAAATTTAAACATGTAAAAAAAATGGCCAAAAATTTTCAACGAATGGAAAAAATTGCCACAAAATGGTGAATTTTGTTTCAATTCAAACGTGCACTTTTTTTTAAGTGAACAAATGTACGAACATTTCGAAAATGTAAGAAGTAAAATTGTAAACATTTGATTTAAAATGTTTACAAATTTACTTTCGCATAAAACCCTTTTGGAAAACAATAAATTACACGACATTTGGAAACAAAAAATGTGGTCACTTTCTCTTCTCTTTCTTGGGCCCCACCTTGCTCCGACCCCCCCTTTCCCAACTTGCCCCCGCCGCCGCTTGCCCCTACAGACAGCAACTTCGTGCTGGGCAACGCGCAGGTTCCGCGCGAGTACCCCATCGTGTACTGCTCGGACGGATTCTGCGAGCTCAGTGGCTTTTCGCGCACCGAGGTGATGCAGCGTGGATGCGCGTGCCGCTTCCTGCACGGGCCACAGACGGCCGAGTACGCCGCGGGCCTCATCCAGAAGGGGTTGGTGGAGCAGCGAGAGACCAAGGCCGAGATGCTCTTCTACAAGAAGGACGGTGAGCGGGGCGTGGCGGTGTGGCGGTGACCGCCGGTGGAATTCCTCCGTAGCGTGAGCTTTGTTCAAATGAATGTTTCTTCTTGATGAATAATTTCTCTACGCACCCCCACCCCCCTCTCTCTCTCTGCCCCCCTCCTCTCTCTCTCTCTATTTAAGGCCTCGACACAGAGGTGTTGTTTCTCTGTGTGCCTATGTGTGTGTCTATCTCTCTGGGTGTGTCTCTGTGTCATCTCTCTCTCTGCTTATGTGTCTGTCTGTGTGTCTCCGTGTCTATGTTTTGTCTCTCTCTCAAATTTAGCAATCTTTGGAAGAACGTTAATCAACCAGGTCGGGTATTGACTGTTGTGTTAGCCGACTCTCTGTGTTGTATTGCATTATATTTCTAAGTTTACTAGTTTTAATAATAGGGGTTTTCCCCAGATGACGCCTTTTGGCGTCAAAAGGCGTCATCTGGGGAAAGACCCTATTAGGTCGAGGCTCAAAAGAAAGCCGTCGCTTGGTGTGGACCAATCAGTTTCAAGGACAATGCATCATATATTATCATAGTACGTTTTTTGTTTGCATTTTGACTGCAGGTATTGTGGTTAATGCAGCAACATGAATCCTTGTAAAAAAAGGTTTCAGTTTTGCTGCCAGAAAAAAGGGGAAAACCCTTGTTATTACATTTTGGTACTGGCAAAGGAGGTCTAATGATGATAATGATGATTTACTAGATTTGTTTTCTCTTTCATTTGTACCTGATGATGATTGCTATCGAAACGTGGTATGCTATTATTTATTTTATTTATTCTTTCCACGTGACTTCACCGAAAGAACCGAAGAGAAATTCTTCATGAATGTTTCTTTCGTTGTTTTTGTTTTTGCGAGCCGTGCAATTGTGACCATGCAGCCAGAACCTATGGGACCGTATTGTGGGTGCCGAGGTGCCGAGATGTTAACTTCCTCGCCTGGTATATGGGAGGTTGTCGTGGGTTCAATCCCGACCCTGACGTCTGCTGTATACTTGGAGTTTGTGTGTGTGTGTCTCTCTCTCTCTCTCCCCGTGATCGCGCGGATGTTTCTCCGGGTCCTCCGGTTTTTCCCACCGTATTAAGAAACACGCGTTTAAAGTATCCAGCTGCAATGAATGTCCACTTCGCTGAGCTATCTTTTGTGGCCGGGTGGCTTCTGAAAAGGAGCTATAGAGCTCAGTGGACCTTACCTGGTAAAATAAAAAAATAGTTTAGTCTATATAGTGAAGACTTCTTCACAATTTCTGTCAAATCGCCTAATGAAGCTGGTTGTAATCACCAGCGAAATGTCGTACTCAAATTGTAAATGTTTGTGGGTTTACTCCCTAACACACTGTTGTGCTGGAGTAGTAACTAATTGGCACATTTTATTTACGTGACAAACCTTACTAATTGCCTCTGTCGTGTGGTGGCGGGTTAATGACCCATTTATTTTTACGCGATCTAACCCATAAAACCTTTATTACTATGAATAAACCACCGGAGTCTGCTTAGCAGTCTCACACACAGACACACACACAGATAATAACAACAACAACAACCGCCATTCGCCACTAAGTGGCGGTGACGTCACCACGACGCTTGTGCCAGGCCATGTGCACCTTGAGGCCACGTGAAGTGTCGAAGGCCTCGCTGGCAGGAGGTCACGGGGCAGACCCAGCAGGTGTCACGGGTCGACTGACTGAGATGAGTGGCTGATGCACCACCTGTGCCCGCTACTGTGCCAACCTGCTGTGCTTTAGCCACAGATATACATACACGCACAGACACACACCGAGATGCATACCGTACACAGAGATGCACACAGATGCGTACGGAGATATGTGCAGAGATGAGCAGAGGTATGAATGGGTTACAACGCAGTCAGTCGATCGGCAGGTCCCGTTAGGTGGGGTAAAGTGTGGGTACATCCGACATCCACTGAGAATTTTTCGCAGCGTGGAGGAGATCTCTGGGGGGGGGGGGAGGGGGGAGGAGAGGGATTTATTAGAGTGGAGCCCCCACCCATCCTCCCCGCCAGCAGCGGCATAAACACGCAGTTGCAGGGCTGCACCACTATCTGTATTTTTGTTCGCGTTGGCAGTGCCGGATTATCCTCTACTACATATAGCACAAGTAGCTACTATGTAGTAGCTATGCAGCTACTAGATAGTAGCTACTGTGTAGTACTGTGTAGTAGCTACTACACATAGCTACTACATAGTAGCTACTACATAGCTACTATGTAGTAGCTACGGGCCCCGTACTTTCAATGGCCCCGCGCTAAACGCTTTGAAGCTATCAATTCCGGTTCAGTGATTCTGCACTAGCTCTTTCACTATAGTACTACACTGCCTTCAACTTTTAATGAACGACCGGGTTTGTCGTATTATCTGGCTGTATAGCAAATGCAAAAATACAATTACTTTACTATGCAATTTTAAAATGTTTTTAATATTTATGTTTTTTTTATAATTTAGGGCCCCTTTATAACATCATATGCTACAGGCCCCGCACTTAGCTTCATCCGGAACTGCGGGTTGGTCGCGTTCTGTCACCCGCAGGGTCGACGTTCTGGTGTCTGCTCGACATCGTCCCCATCAAGAATGAGAAACGGGAGGTGGTGCTCTTCCTCGCGTCCTTCAAGGACATCACGGAGGCCAAACTTCTGGCCGTGCCAGGGGAGAGGCCCCATCCCGGTGAGACATCGGTGTGGGATTGTGAGATATTAGGCAGCCACTTGAGCTACGCATTTTAAAATCTCGATTTAAAACATTTCTTTTTGAACTGCTTTTTTGGGTGTGTTTAGTTTGTTGTCCTTCCCCTGCACCTCAGATTAGCACGGTTGGCTGCGTATGGTGCGAAAGAAGTTCAACATACATATGTACATAGACTCACACAGAGCCCCATATACTTGCACAGAGACCCATAGACTCACACAGAGACCCGTGGACTCACACAGAGACCCATAGACTCACACAGAAACACATAGACTCACACAGAGACCCATAGACTCACACAGAGACTCATAGACTCACACAGAGACCCATAGACTCACACAGAGACTCATAGACTCACACAGAGACCCATAGACTCACACATAGATTAATATACTCACACAGAGACCCATAGACTCACACAGAGACCCATAGGCTGAAACAGACACATAAACTCACACAGAGACACATAGACTCACACAGAGACCCATAGACTCACACAGAGATCCATAGACTCACACAGAGACCCATAGACTCACACAGAGACCCATAGACTCACACAGAGATTAATATACTCACACAGAGACCCATAGACTCACACAGAGACCCATAGGCTCACACAGACACATAAACTCACACAGAGACACATAGACTCACACAGAGACTCGTAGACTCAGACAGAGACCCATAGACTCACACAGAGACCCATAGACTCACACAGAGACCCATAGACTCACACAGAGATCCATAGACTCACACAGAGACCCATAGACTCACACAGCGACCCGTAGACTCACACAGAGACCCGTAGACTCACACAGATACCCATAGTCTCACACAGAGACCCGTAGACTCACACAGAGACCCATAGACTCACACAGAGACCCGTAGACTCACACAGAGACCCGTAGACTCACACAGAGACCCATAGACTTACACAGAGACCCATAGACTCACACGGAGATCCATAGACTCACACGGAGATCCATAGACTCACACAGAGACCCATAGGCTCACACAGACACATAAACTCAAACAGAGACACAATGACTCACACAGAGACCCATAGACTCACACAGAGACCCGTAGACTCACACAGAGAACCATAGACTCACACAGGGACCCATAGACTCACACAGAGACCCATAGACTCACACAGAGACCCACAGACTCACACAGAGACCCACAGACTCACACAGAGACCCACAGACTCACACAGAGACCCATAGACTCACACAGAGACCCACAGTTTGTTGTCCTTCCCGCCCGCACCTACGATCAGCATGGTTATCTCCGTACGGCGAGAAAGAAGTTCATCATACGTCATGGACGTCCACACTGGACTGCCGGCCCTATGTGCGACCCCGACGCTCGCGGTGATGGAGGCGGGGTGGGGGGGATGGTGGAGAGGGGGTTTTGGGGATTCGTTCCGCCCGTGAAGTGCAATAGTTGTATTTAATTCCTCTCTTATTACGCGCAAAGTGAAAATGGTTTTGAAATGGCCCAGCAGGGGGGCGGGGTGGGTGGGCGGGTTGCGTAAATGCAGTTTTTTTCTGGTCGTGTCAACCGCGCTCCTCGCGCTATTTCGATTTTTTGTTCGATGGCATTTAGCCGTCGACGAAAATATAATCCGCCCCCCCCTCCCCTCCTCCGTGGATAATTGTCATCGAATTGATTGGCTTGGCTGTTGTAGTTGTTGTAATCGTTGCAGGTTTCTTTTGTTGCATCGCACCGACTCGGCTGATCCGATTGTCGTCGAGCCGCCCGGCTGCCTGGGCCACGCAAAATATATATTTAAAAAAAAAACACGATAATTGTTTACTTGGCCGCGATTCGCTGAAAGCCTCAGGTCAGGAAATCTGCGCGTTCGCGAAGGAAAATTCGCCGCCAAAATTCAGAAAGCATCGCGTTGGGTCGATTTTGTCACGATTTAAAAAAAAAATCAGACGTTGTGGAAAAGCGTGAAGCAGTAAAGGTGGCAACATTTAAGGCGGCAGGCTGGCGCTGTTGGTTAATACACGCGCCTCGCAAGCAATAGGGGCCTCGGTTCGATTCACCGAATTGGGGCGCCTTTGAACGTGGACTTTGTGCGCTCTCTCCCCTATTCTGCAATGCGGTTTTCTCCGTGTACTCCAATTTCCTCCCACAGATTAAACAAACAACAGCAACCGTCATTCGCCACTAGGTTAGCGGTGACATCACCGCGGCGCTCGCGCCAGGCTATGTGCACTTTAAGGCCACTTGAAGTGTCAAAACGCCCGCTGGTAGGAGGTCACGGGACAGACCCAGCAGGTGCCACGGGTCGACTGGCTGAGGTTGACTGACTGAAATAAAAACAGAACACACACACACCGTAACTTAACCGGTACCGGCAAAACATTCCAATGCGGGAAAAATGTCGCCGCAATGTTTACTCGATTGGGATTTACGCACGGAGCCTCTCTCCCCTGAGAAAAAAAACCTTGGCAGGACCCTCCTGAAAATGAGTCTTGAGACTCGGTGACGCTTCTCTCGGGTAAACAATCCTTCTAACTAAAAAAAAAAAGACATTTTATTCAACGTAACAAAGTCTTCTGTTTCCACCTCCGCTCTATAATGAATTCGGTGTAATGTGCACAGCACGGTCCCGTCAGTGAGTCACGCGCAAAATTGCAAACCTCTCGGCGTCTTAATTGCACGGCAATTTGAATTCGAATCGCCCGCTCGTCTTCACCGAGGTTCCGCAAGCGTCGCAATTGTTGGTGTGATGGGAGTTGAAAGTTCCCGCAAGGGGGTGATGGTTCGAGGGAAACTCTGGTGAGTCGGCAGAAGGCATCTGGCGAGAGGTGGTGTCACAGCAGCGCCGCAGTGGCGAGATGTTAACGACCTCGCCTGGTATACAGGAGGTCATCATGGGTTCGATCCCGACCCTGACACCTGTCGCATACTTGAAGTTTGCATGTCTCTCTCTCTCCGTGGTGAGATGTTAACTACCTTGTCTGGTATACAGGAGGTCATGGCTTCGATCCTAACCCCTGACGCATGTTGTTTATTTGGAGTTTGCGTGTCTCTCTCTCTCTCGCGCTCTCATTATCACAGTGGCCAGGAGATGTTAACTACCTCGCCTGGTATACAGGAGGTCATCATGGGTTCGATTCCGACCCTGACACCTGTCGCATACTTGAAGTTTGCATGTCTCTCTCTCTCTCCGTGGTGAGATGTTAACTACCTTGTCTGGTATACAGGAGGTCATGGATTCAATCCTAACCCCTGACGCATGTTGTTTATTTGGAGTTTGCGTGTCTCTCTCTTTCGCGCTCTCATTATCACAGTGGCCAGGAGATGTTAACTACCTCGCCTGGTATACAGGAGGTCATCATGGGTTCGATCCCGACCCTGACACCTGTCGTATACTTGAAGTTTGCATGTCTCTCTCTCTCCGTGGTGAGATGTTAACTACCTTGTCTAGTATACAGGAGGTCGTGGCTTCGATCCTAACCTCTGACGCCTGCTGTTTATTTGGAGTTTGCGTGTCTCTCTCTCTCTCTCTCGCTCTCATTATCACAGTGGCCAGGAGATGTTAACTACCTCGCCTGGTATCGAGGAGGTCGTGGCTTCGATCCCCACCCTGATACCTGTACATTTAGACTTCGCATGCTCTCCATGCAGTCGCGTGGATTTTTCTCCAGGTCCTCCAGTTTTTCCCTCCACATTTATAATCAACATGTGTTTAGCATATTTTGCTGCTTTTAAATTTTCCGCGTGATAAGCCGCTTCCTTGAGCAATAATTTGTGAAGGCCAGGTCGCTTCTGGAAAGAAAAAAAAAGAGCTACTGTATGTAGGAGCTCAGTGGGCCCTACTTGGTAAAATAAAATAATCGAGTTTTAGTTTCACAGATGTAAACGGTGGGACATCGCATTGAATCGAATTCTTTTTGACGCCATGAACTAGAAAGATTTCGTTTTTTTCACGGCCGCGCAGCTCTCCGGGTCGTCTCTGCGGTGTGCACCGTCCACGTCTCGTCCTGAACAGCTCCATCCTCCCGGAAGGAGCTCCCAGAGCGTCGAGAGAGACAACGCGGACATCAACTCGCGCCACGACCTGAGAGCGCACCCGGGGATACATTCCTTTACGAATGTATATCGGCGGCGCGATTTCAGTGATTTAAAAATAAAATAAAAATTACATTTTTAAACACAAAGCGTGGACTGGCAGCAAATGTACCTACCTCGTAGCGCGCGCGAGACATTCAATTGGAGAAAAAAAAAACGCACCAAAATAGAATTCGCTTACTTCCCCGCAACGGAATCAATTAAAGCAATTGCTCATTCGTCCGTGGGGGGGTGCTGGAAATTAACACGAAGATTTCGTACCCGGTTGGAATTTTTGTTCAAACATTTATTCGATGTTATATTTTTTTACATTCAGCAAAGTGGCGAGGAACACGTCGGGAGCCGGAATAGAGGGGCGACGTGGGCGTCGAGGGGGCGTGCGGACATCGCTTCAATGCTTGTCTCGAACACCAGGCAGTGGGGGGGGGTGCATCGGTAGGCGTGAATGACGGAGCGACAAGCGAGGAGAGTGGGGAACGCGTTTCTCGGGGCGCGTCCGTCGAGGGGGGACGGAGCGATGGGAATGAAAGTGGCTCGCGCGTGCTGAGCGGGTTAATGCATCGTGAAATCGTAGGGGGGTAGGGGGGGGAGGTGGGCGACGGCCTTGGGAAAGTCCTTCATCCAGCAGTGGATTGATCATGGCTGCTGATGATGATGATGACAGTGGCGAAGAGAGCACATAATGTTCTCTCGTGAACTGTTTTTTTTTAGATTTAAAGCTTTCGTGACTGCAAGGATCCATACTCTTTGGTTCTATTCGGTAAAGTCACGTAGGTTTTATTTTTTACCTACGTGACTTTACCGAATAGAACCAAAGAGTATGATTTTTTTGGTGAACAAAAATATTTCTCAGCTGGGTAATGGTCGAGTTTGTTTTCATTATTTAATGGATAACATTTGCCGATGACAAATGAAGAATCGCACGTTTTCACGAATGTGTTATGTTTCCATGGCAACGTAGCAGCAACGGATACCTTATTGATGTCCGTATTTTTATACGTGTTGGTTTAGTTTCAGTCGTGTTGCTATTTTGTGCTCGGCCTTTGACGACACGCCGATTCATCGATTGAAATCGCCTGCTATGCCCCGTGCTGCACCCATCAAATCGCATTTCGTGCCAGTCGACTTTCCCCCTACTCTACAGCCTGCGGGAGAGTAGGCTGCGATATCCAGACTGGCCACAGTAGACCCAAACATCAACCAGAGGAGCTCTCATTCCCTTCCCTCCACTCGCCCCTCCACTCCATCCCATCCCTCGCGAGCGCCACGGTGGTTAGGAAATGTCAACTACCTCGCCTGGTATACAGGAGGTCGTGGATTCGATCCGGACCCTGACGCCTGCTGCTGTATATTTGGAGTTTGCGTGTCTCTCTCTCTCTCATCATCATCACGGTGGCTAGGAGATATTAACTACCTTGCCTGGTATACAGGAGGGCGTGGGTTCGATCCCAACCCTGACGCCTCACGGAAATTTGGAGTTTGCGTGTCTCTCTCTCTCTCTTTCATAATCATCACGGTGGCTAGGATATTTCAACTACCTCGCCTGGTGTACAGGAGGGCGTGGGCTCGATCCCGACCCTGACGCCTGCTGCTGCTGTATATTTGGAGTTTGCGTGTCTCTCTCTCATCATCATCATCACTGTGGCTAGGAGATGTTAACTACCTCGCTCGGTATACAGGAGGGCGTGGGTACGATCCCGACCCTGACGCCTGCTGCTGTATATTTAGAGTTTGCGGTGTCTCTCGCTCTCTCTCCCCGTGGTCGCGTGGATTTTTCTCCGGGTCCTCCAGGTTTTTCCCTCCACGTTTAGAATCGACATCGCGCGCTGAGGGTATTCGGGCGCCATAAATCTCCACATGGTGATGATGATGATGACCCACTTTGTTGAGCTGCCGTCATTTGCCATGGCCAGGGTCGCGTCTGGAAAAAGAGCCACGTAGCAGCTCAGCGGGGCTTTTACCTAGTTAAGATAACAAAAATACAAATAGTTAAGGCGGGGAGGTGGAGAATATGTGGGCTCCCTGTCCCTGATTAGGTGGGGACGGCGAGCCCGAGAGTTTCTATGGGGGAAAAGGGAGTGGGGGATAACAATAGTAAGGGGGGATATAGAGACGGGGGAACGAGGGAGGAGGGTATGGAGGGGTAGGGGAAGAACTTGATAAGCCACCTCTTCGTATAGATATCATTTGTGGTGGCCACGTGGCTTCTGAAAAAGAAGCTGATAGCTCAGTGGGCCTTATCTGTCTTCTTTGGTTCTTTCGGTAAAGTCACGTAGAATGAGAATAAAATAATAAATTGATAAAATAAAATAACACAATAAAATTCTCACGACGTTTCGGCCACAACACAAGCGGCCTTCATCAGCTCCAGCGCTGTTCTCCAGACAGTCTCGTCCCTTCACCTGCTGAAGGCGCTTGTGTTGTGGCTGAAACGTCGTGAGAATTTTATTGTTATTTTATTTTATCAATTTATTATTTTATTCTCATTCTACGTGACTTTACCGAAAGAACCAAAGAAGATGAATCCTTGCAGTTACGAAAGCTTTAAATCGGGGCCTTATCTGGTAATAAAAAATAAAGTTTAGTTTTATATGTACATATTTTGTAAGTGATGTTTACATACTCTTTGGTTCTTTCGGTAAAGTCACGTAGGTAAAAATAAAAAATAAAGTTAATCAAATCACGACGTTTCACTTTAACTTTTGGATTAACTTTATTTTTTTATTTTTACCTACGTGACTTTACTGAAAGAACCAAAGAGTATATACCATTGCAGTCACGAAAACTTCAAATTTATAATTGATGTTTACATTTTCCTCGATACTTTGCACTCCTATAGTTGTCACGTTCTCACAACGTGACCCTACTGGAGATATCTGTGAAAAAAGAGAGCTTCATAGCCCATCAGATTCCTCCTCCTCCTCCCGCATAAATAAAGATTCTCAAATCTTGACTGAAAGCTTTCGTGACTGCAGGAATTCATTCTCGGCAAAATCACATTTCGGTGAAGTCACGTACATAGAAAAAAAAAAAAAAAAAACACGTTATTATTTCATTATATTTCCATCTACGTGACTTTACCGAAAGACCCAAAGGTGTCTAAAGATTCTCAGTCTGAACTTCCGAACCTTCTAACCCTCTGACCACCGGGCCCGCCAACCCCGTCTGAGCCCGTGACGTGCGCTGGCCAAGCCCCCTGCTGTCCTTCATCACCGCGCACCGCTTTGCCCGCGATGTGCCCACCGCTGTTTGTGCGTTACGTGACCGCCCCCCCCCCCCCCCAACCGCCTCCGCTGCCCCCCGCTGCCCCCCCACCCCCCCTCCCCGCCCCCTGCCGCATGTCCAGAAGACGCTAGCCGACGGAAGAAGCGCCGGGCGGTTCGCCCGGCGTTCATGTCAAGCCGGCGTAGGAGCCGCGCCGTGCTCTACCACCTGTCGGGCCACCTGCAGAACAAGGAGAGCAAGGGCAAGCTGAAGATCAACAACGTGAGTGTGAAGGGGTCGCCGAACGCCAGTGTGTGTGTGTGTGTGGCGGGGAGGGCCGTCCACCCACGGGTTACGCGTACGAGACGGCGGCGGAGCGGACGCTCTGATTTACACCGTGCGGGGTGGGGGGGGGCAAAGGGAATTGTTGCAGCCGCAACGCCGTGATGGTTACGGTCGCTGGGAAGGTCGCGCTCGTTACGCGCGCGCGAGCACTAAGCGCTTGCCGCGGACGGGCCACGATAACCTCGCTGATCGCGTCAAGGAGCGTTGGGCCATCACGGGAACTCCGATCGTCCTTCCCCTCCCCCCCCCCTCCCCGCGCACCTCCGATTAGCACGCCTGGCCACGTACGGCGCGAAAGAAGTTCGACGTCTTTCCTCGCAGCGGCTTTTGGCTGACCGTCGCACAGAGGCGGGCGCCGCATCGCGCGCTTTCAGACGCGCTTCTGCGGCCGTCTGGAACGCTCTTCCGTCTGATATTAGGAGGCCGCTGGGGCGATGCAACTTTTAAATCATCGTCGAGATTGAGAACTCATTTTCTCTAGAACTCTCCTTGTTTAATGCTCGGTGTGTTGCCCTTCCCCCGCACCTCCGATGACCGCGGGTTGGCTAAGTACGGCGCGACAGAAGTTCAACACACGCGCGTTTGGTTTGCAGTCCCAAATAAAATAAAACGCCATCTCCTCCCGCTGCACCTCCTCCCCACACCTGTCTCTCCACGGAAATGCTTTTTCGTCGTTGTCTCAGCTATATTTACACGCAGCCCGTCAACCGCACTGGCAGCGGCGTTGTTTCAGCGACGAGCAAACCGTGCGCCGGTTTCGACATCCGTCGCCTGAATCACCACTGGTGTTGTGTGTGTGTGTGTGTTTGCGATCCGCTCGGTGTTCGAAGGCACTGGGGATCTGTAAGAATGACAAATTCGCTCAATGCGCACGTGTGTGTTATTTTATCTTTTGCTGTTCTGTTTGGGTACATTCTCCCAACCCCACCTGCTCTCTCCCGCCCTCTCGCTGTCCCTTAAAAACGCCGCGTTCCCGATCGTCGCCCCTACGAGGGGAGGTAGGGAGCAGTGAGCCCAGTCACCTTTGGCTGGTCCCTATCCCGAGGGCACCTGGCCCCTGGGTTTATTGCTCGCAGGGGGCTGTGTGTATGTTTGTGTTTTTCCACATTCTAAAATCGGGCTCTTGTATGTAAAAAAATATATATACATGTCAACCTCTTATCAGCACCCTACCTTATTACAGACCATTTCAGACCGTATTGGTCACACCGTGTCCCTTATAAATCCCAACGTTCCTCCTACAAAATCCCATCACAAGGGAGAAACACAAACAAATTGGAAAAAATGTTTGCCCATATTGAAACGGCTGTACGCCGTGTGGACCTGAAAACCCAATTTCCCTGTACAAGAATACGGGTTAAACCGTATGCAATGGCGGAGCCAGAGGGGGGTGGGGTGGCACGTGCCCCCCCCCCCCCCCCCCCCCCCCCCACCAATGATCCGATCGAAATTCCTAATTTCGATCGGATCATTGGGGTTTATTAGTAATAAATCGGCATTTTGCGACCCCCACTGCCACTGTGTAGCATATTATTACGTGCCAGGGACTCTATGAGATGATAGAACAATTATCTGAGTCAATAATTGGCAATAAGTAACGGCAAAGCAGTTATAAGTGGCTCAGAATTGTGCGCAGTTGCGTATACAGTACACGACTTCCCTGAAGGCAAACACCTTCAGCGAGCGCGATGCCGATCACACAAACGCGGTTCGAATTCGACCCTTACTAACAACTCCTCTATCATTTTTCATTGCTGGAGGGATTGCCCGCCCTACCTGAAAATCCTGGCTCTGCCAGTAACCGTATGGGTTCTTTCGCGCGCGAGAGAGAGAGAGAGACAAGGAGACGCTCTGCGAGATTTTTTAACAAGCAGTTTCTGGAATCGGCACCAGAATCTTAATTTTGGCTGGAGGAATCCGATGAGCTGTAAAGCTCTTTCTCGCAGAAGTCCAGTAGGCGGTCGGTCAGCAAGTTCAGCAAGTTCTGCTTTCTCTTTTCCCGCAGAGGGTGCTACGCGAGCAGCTGGTCTTGCCGGAGTACAAGGTGGCGACGGTGCAGAAGTCCAGATTCATCCTGCTTCACTATGCCACCTTCAAGGGTAACCCAGCGCCTCACCAGCTGCCCCCTGCCGACACGTTGGGCAGAGGTAGACTGGAGTGCGCTAGCCAATCAGGCGCTAGCGCGACTGCTAGCCCAAACAAACTAGCCAACCAGACGCCAGCCCTACTGCTAGCCCAAACAAACTAGCCAACCAGACGTTAGCCCTACTGCTAACCCCAATTAACTAGCCAACCAGACGCTAGCGCGACCGCTAGCCCAATTAAAACCAGCTAACCAGACGTTAGCTCTATCGCTAACCCGAACAATCTAGCCAACGAGACGCAAGCTCTATCACTAGCCCTAACAGACTGGCCAATCAGAAGATAACTGAACACAAAGCCCTATCGCTGGCCCTAACAAACTGGCCAATCAGAGGTTAACTAGACACAGTGCTATCACTAGCCCTAACTAGCCAATCAGACACTGTGGCCCTGCATCTATTCCTAACAGCCGACCGGAGCATCCTCCGGTGCTTTGCTATTGTTATTTATTTGTCTTCTTCCCCCAATCACTTGTAATTCTGATGCTTCTTGAAAAGACGTTCCAGGCTTGGGAGATTCCATTGGGCGGTTCGCGCTGCCTGGAGTGAAGGTCATCTCTCTATGAGTGGTAAATTTAGCCAGCGGTTTAAATTGTAGCCAAGAGGCTTAGTCCGATCGACTCGAACCGTCAAGCGTTTAGTCAAACGCGCGCAGCGATTCAGTGTTTTCCATTGAGGGGTGTGTAATTCTCCCCACCAGTATTGTCAGGTCGGCCAATCGGTGACCTCGGTTAATCTTGTTATGTAGACATGGATAGCCAATTCACATACCGCGTCAACCCATACGGTTTACCCCGTATTCTTGTACTGTGCAGGGATATCGAGTTTCCAGGTCCATACGGTGTACAGCCGTTTCAATACGGGCAACAAAAATGTTTGTCCATTTGTTTGTGTTTCTCCATTGTGATGGGACTTTGCAGGATGAACGTTGAGATATAAAAGGGCACAGGCTTACGATTACGGTCTGCATTGGTCTGTAATAAGGGTTGACAGGTATGAATTAAGTACCATGTTGGGTGTTTCTCAGTGCACTGCTTTAACAGCGGTACCAAATTATTGTAGCCAGAATCTTAATTCACACTCGTTAATTAAATTTTGTCTCGTCAGTCAGCCGCGTTTTTGGTGTGCAGCCATAGTCTAGTGGTGATGGCGGTGACGATGGTGGTGATTGTAGTTGTGGTGGTGGTGGGTTGCGGTGGTGTGGTGGATAGCGTGCTGCGCTATGAACCCGGCGACCCGAGCTTAATTCCAGCCCACGGCCAACCCCAGTGACGTTCAATAGAACCGGTTCTTGGGCCTCTCCTAGGTCGACTCAGCCTCAAATGAGTACATGATGTGGTGTGTAAACATCGCCACTGGCGGTCGGGCGTGGTGCTGGCCACCCACTCCGTCGTGTGCCGTTCCGGCCTTCATATGTGCTACTTCCTAACAGCACTTGCCCCGACAGTCTGCCGAGGTTATACAGGGGATATTTGTTGTTTGTTGGTGGTCGTGGTATTGGTGCGCAGTCATGGTCTATTGGTGGTGGTGGTGCTGCTGCTGGTGATGCTGGTGGTATTGGGGGGGGGAAGAAGTCAAAGTCTTCATTACGATTGGTGATCTTCATCCTCTCGCGGCCACCGTTGGCGAAAAAAACAAAAACCCCCTTAAGCTGACGAATAATTTTCGGGGCTAATTTCAATCAACGAAAATTAACACCTCGATCCTCACACTTGACGGCAGTTTCTCAGGAACACAGGCGGAATGATAATGAGGTCGATCTTATTTTTAACTCTACTAGAAAAGTGTCCAATTTTGTTTTTCCTTTTAGAGCACCAACGTAGCAATGTAGCAGCCTGAGAATGCCTATAATCAACTGCTGTGCGGGACCCATTTTCAAGATAAATTCGTGGTCGGTGCGGCAAATGCCTGCTCCGCTTAGGACAAGATAAACTCCATAGGCAGTCGACCACTCGACTCATTTGTCAATCACACCGTGGCCTTAAAAGGTAAAATATATATAAAAGGTGACATATTGAGCTAGTGCCCTTACTCATAGCACACGTATAGGGGAGGCCTTTCTGTCAGAGAGGCCTATGAAAGCCTCTCTATGTGTAAGATAAGAGGGTAAATGAAGGAGTGAAACTGCCTAGGGTTGGGAAACGCACCACGTTCGCCACCAACAATGTCCCAACCCGCTCTGCATAAAACAGTGTGCTGTGGAGGGCCATTGCCCGAAACGTTGCCTATTATGTTTTCTTTTCAGGTCACAGTGTTATTGACGATTGTGTATAACGTGCCGTGGTGGCAAGATGTTATCTCCCTCGCCCGGTATACAAGAGGTCGTGGGTTCGAACCCGACCCCTGAACCCCGAGCCCTGACGCCTGTATATTTGGAGTTCACATGTTCTCCCCGTGGTCGCAAGGATTTTTCTCCGTGTCCTCCGGCTTTCCCCTCCACATTTTGAATTGTGCGTCTAGAGTATTTGGCTGATTTAAATGTCCACACGATAAGCCGCTTCGTTGAGCTACAATTTGTAATGGCCAGGTCGCTTCTGCAAAAGAGCTACGTAGCTCAGTGGGCCTTACCTGGTAGAATCATAATAGTTTGGTTTATTATCGAGTTTATGGTAATAATTCAGGTTCTACAACCACATAAATATCCATTACAAGGCATCAAGAAGACTGCCAGAGAGGCTAAAGCCTTTTGATTTTTTTCATCACCTTGATACTGACACAGATAGTCCCAAATATACGTGTTGTCGTAGTATAGAGTTGTTGTTGTTGCTGTTGTCTGTGCTTTTGCACCACTGCCATCGCAGCAGCAGCATCGCCAACTACTAAGCAGAGTAAGGGTGTTATTTTGCTTTTTTTGGGTGGGAGCGTGAACGTGTTGCTGTGTAAAATAGAGGTTTTTGGGTTAGATCACGTACATATAAATGCGTGGTTAAACCCGCCACTATCACCGACACATCCCAAATAGTGAGGTTTGTCACGTAAACAAAACGTGCCGATTCGTTACTATAGTTCAGCACAGCGGTTGTGCGTTGTAGAGTAAACCCACTACAACATTTACAATTCGAGCGCCGTGACGTTTCGCTGGTAATTGCGACCAGCATCATCAGGATGGCAGCCGGAGCTGTGGAGGAATGCTGGTGCAGCGTGGCGGTTGAACACAGCGTGACGGTTGAGACGCGACAGTCGCTTTGCTCCAGACCGAGCCCTCTCAACAAGGAGAGGAATAATGAATGAGCGCTAGTAGCGATACAAGAGTGACAAGGAGGTGACTGAAGGTGATGAGTTACCGGAATGATATTAGTGCTGCACCGTCAATCAACCCAAATGTCGAGTGGTGGCGCAGTGGTTAGCGCGCTGCACTGTGGACCTGGTGGCCTGAGTTTCATTCCCGGCCACGCTGACATCGGTGACAGGCGATATGTGAACTGGTCCTGGGCACTCACCACAAAGACAAAAGATCCCCAGTATAGCCTTTAACAGACTGTAGGGGCAAGTGCTGTTAGCGAGAACCTGAGAAGGCCGGCACTGTGGCACACGAGAGGGGTGGGTGGGCCAGCACCACGCCCGGCCGCCTTTGTCTCCCCAGTGGCGGCGATGTTTACTACGCACCGCACCCATCCCACCCCTCCCGCAAAACCAGCATCTTTGCTCGGGCCTGCATCGAGCAGTGGATTAACAGCAACAGACATCTACGGAGAATATGAAAGGCATGCACAACGATTGCTTGCTTCTGCTTTTCAAACGAATCTCAAATCGGAGCAATTGCTCGATGTGTCTTTCCTTCTGGAACACGTGGTCTGTCCCGGTGGACAATTGCAGAAATCCGCGAGCGATAAAGGCAGGGCACGTTTTTTTAAAAACAAAAAAAAAATTCACGATCAACATAATTGGATTGAACAAAAAAAGAGAAGCCACCCACCTGCTGTGACGTATCACGACGCATTAATTGAATGCCTTTAAAAAAATTAAAATGTATTCTGATAAATAATTATTTGCCGGGTCTGCAGAGGCGGGGGAGCGCCAATCTGCGACAGGTGAACTGCACGGATCAAGAGGGAAGATTAACAAACAAACATATATATAGACAGGATGTAAAGGCGTTAGGGTGAGCATCAAAGTCAGTGCCTCTAGGCCAGCGTTATTCATTGCAATCCCCACGGGCCGCTGACGGCCTCTGGTGGCCTTTAGTGCAGCCCCTGACGTGCGGTCTCCCTCCTATACACAAACAGTGACAACACCCACCACCACCATCACCATCATCGTGCTGTTAAACCCAAACAATGGTTCCAAGTGGCGTGGCGGTCCTCATACTGGCGATGTTTTATCGGCCAAAATGCCCCCCCCCCCCCCCCCACTCTGACAATTAAATGAAGAGCAACGCTCTAGGCCAAGTCCTGGGTCCTGGGTCCTGTTTATGTGTCGGGTGGTGGAGGGTTACGACACATTTACACTTACGCGATCTAACACAAACGCCTTTATTACGGGGTGGGATGGGGGGGTGGTGGTCTTTGTATTTTGTTCTCGGTGAGCGCGCTTAGCTAAGAACCCGGCGGACACCCAAGAGTTCGATCCCCGCACACGACGCCGGTGGCGATGATCTGGAACCGCTCCTGGGTCTCCCATGGGTCGGATCAGCCTCAAATGAGTACCCGGTGCGGTGTGTAAACATTGCCACTGGGGAGACAAAGGCGGTCGGGCGTGGTGCTGGCCACCCACCCCCTCGTGTACCGTTACGGCCTTCATAGGTGCTCGCTAACAGCACTTGCCCCTACAATCTGTTAAGGCTATACGGGGGATCTTTGTGTGTATGTGTGTCTATCTGTGTGTGTGTGGGGGGGGGGGGGGGGGGAGCGATAGTGTAGCGGTTAGCGCTACGAACCTGGGGACCCGGGTTCGATTCCCGCTCACGGCCAACACCGGTGACGATTATTTGAACCGATCCATGGGCCTCCCCTAGGTCGACTCGGCCTCAAATGAGTACCTGGTGCGGTGTGCAGTAAACGTCGCCACTAGGGAGACAAAGGCGGCCGGGCGTGGTGCTGGCCACCCCACCCCTTCGTAGTGCCGTGCCGGCCTTCATAGTTGCTCGCTAACAGCACTTGCCCCTACAGTCCGTCGCAGGCTACACGGGGGATCTTTGCCTTTATCTTTGCGGCTGGCGTTGAACGCTGCGACGCCTCTCTGGCCGAGGTCGCGCAGCTCGCACCGCTACTCGTTTCGGGGGTCCGCGGGGGCGGTCGTGGCGCGGGCAGGACAATGGTGTGTCGTCTCTCCCCTCCACCACCCAACCCGCCAATGCGCGCCTGTACCACCACCCCCATGCCCGCCTCAGCCGGCTGGGACTGGCTGACCCTGCTGGCGACCTTCTACGTGGCCCTCACCGTGCCCTACAACGTCTGCTTCGTGGGCAAGGAGGACAAGCCCGTGCCGTCGCGCATCACCATCGTCAGCGACATCGCCGTCGAGTTCCTCTTCATCACGGGTCCGTCGATGCACTTCGACCCTCTCCCATCCACCCCGTCACCTCCCGACTGCTGCTGCTGCTGGCTGCTGCTGCTGCTGGCTGCTGCTGGCTGCTGGCTGCTGCTGGCTGGCTGCTGCTGGCTGCTGGCTGCTGCTGGCTGCTGGCTGCTGCTGGCTGGCTGCTGCTGCTGCTGGCTGCTGCTGCTGCTGGCTGCTGCTGGCTGCTGGCTGCTGCTGGCTGGCTGCTGCCTGCTGCTGCTGCTGGCTGCTGCTGGCTGCTGCTGGCTGCTGGCTGCTGCTGGCTGCTGCTGCTGCTGGCTGCTGGCTGCGGCTGCTGCTGGCTGCTGCTGGCTGCTGCTGGCTGCTGCTGCTGCTGCTGGCTGCTGCTGGCTGCTGGCTGCTGCTGCTGGCTGCTGCTGCTGGCTGCTGGCTGCTGCTGCTGCTAGCTGCTGGCTGCTGCTGCTGGCTGCTGCTGCTGCTGGCTGCTGCTGCTGGCTGCTGCTACTGCTGCTGGCTGCTGCTGGCTGCTGCTACTGCTGCTGCTGGCTGCTGGCTGCTGCTGCTGCTGGCTGCTGCTGCTGCTGCTGGCTGCTGCTGGCTGCTGCTGCGGCTGCTGCTGGCTGCTGGCTGCTGCTGCTGCTGCTGGCTGCTGCTGCTGCTGCTGGCTGCTGCTGCTGCTGCTGGCTGCTGCTGCTGGCTGCTGCTGGCTGCTGCTGCTGCTGGCTGCTGTTGCGGCTGCTGCTGGCTGCTGCTGCTGCTGCTGCTGGCTGCTGTTGCGGCTGCTGCTGGCTGCTGCTGCTGCTGCTGGCTGCTGCTGCTGGCTGCTGCTGCTGCTGCTGCTGGCTGCTGCTGGCTGCTGCTGCTGGCTGCTGCTGCTGGCTGCTGCTGCCGCTGCTGCTGCTCGAATACAACAACAAATATATATTCTGTCTTATTTGTTTGTGTGTTTCTCTCTTGTGCATGGGACTTTGTAGGATGAGCGTTGAGATTCATAAGGGGCACGGGGTGGCCAATAATGTCTGAATTGGTCTGTTCTAAGGTGGGGCACTGATAAGGGGTTGACATGTATTCACTATACACTGCACTACTGTACACTATTATACAATACACTATACACTACTCTACCTTACACTATACACTACACGACCATACCAACCCATACGGTTTAACCCGTATTCTTGTAGAGGCAATTTGAGTTTTCAGGTCCAGCCGTTTCTATAGGGCAATACAAATGTGTCTAATTTATGTTTTTCCCTTGTGATGGGATGAACGTTGAGATTTATAATGGAACGTGGTGGCCAATAAAGTTTGACTTGGTCTGTAATAAGGTAGGGCACTGATAAGGGGTTGATAGCTACTGTATGGCTTTAACCTTACCGCCTGAATGTAAAATTGTAGGTGGTGAGATGTTGACTACCTCGCCTGGTATGCAGCAGGCCAGGTGTTCGATCCCGACCCTGATGCCTGCTGTATGTTTGGAGTTTGCGTGTCTCTCAATCTCCACCGTGGATCACGTGGATTTTTGTCTCCAGGTCCTCCGGTATTTCCCTCCACATTTAGAATCAAGGTGCGTTTAGACTGTTTAGATGATGTCGCTGCTATAAATGTCCAAGTGATGGGCCACTTTGTTGAGCTATCATTTGTGGCCAGGTCGCTTTTTGAACAGTAAGTTAATAGCTCAGTGGGCTTTGTCTGGTAGGGTGGCGATGGTTAAGTTGTTGTATTTGTTTGGGTGGTTTGTTTACCTTTATTATACTTTGCACTACTATCGTGTGTTGTACTGTTTGTTGTTGTAACGTTTTTACACGCCCCCAACTGGACATCTGTGAAAAAGAGCTTCATAGCTCATCGGATTCCTCAAGTATAAATACATGTTCTGATTTTTGCCAATAACCCTTTTCGGAAGCACCTAATAAATACATTTTTGCATTAACCACACGTACTCGTGGCAAAAAACATTCAAAACAAGCGTGCTCTGATAATAATAATATTTGCGTTGGCTTTGAAACTCGATTGGCCGACACCAAGGACGGCCCTCTTTGTGGCATAACCTCACCCACAAGTCTTAGACGACCAGAGAATGCCAAAAGTCAAACAGTAAAAAAGGCAATGCAAGTATCAAAGCATCAAAAGCTCGGGTTGAGCAGTCGTATCTATCTGGCAAAAAAATAAATAAAAAGGGTCCCAGCGATATGCCACCTGTTGTATTGCCAGAAAGGAGAAAAGCCTTTTCTTTATTTTTTCCGTCAATTTGGCCGTGGCTTGGCGACATCATTACCGTCGGCACCAGGACAAAAGGAGGGATATTTACATCACGTGAGCCTCTTCGCCCACCCGGCCATAAGTGCATATGCGGCGAAACCAAATTTGGCATTCACATGGAAATGTTGCCATTTAACACATAAACGCAATGATAATTAAATACATAAAAGATTTTATTTCGATTTAAAGCTTTCGTGACTGCAGGGATTCATCTTCTTGGTTCTTTCGGTAAAGTCACGTAGAAGGGAAATAATAAAATAATAAAATAAAATTCCCACGACGTTTCGGCCACAACACAAGTAGCCTTCCTCAGGTGAAGAAACATAACTGTCGGGAAGACAGCGCTCCAAATTTGGCCGAAACGTCGTGAGAATTTTATTTAATTATGTTGTTTTTTTATTATTTTATTATTTCCCTTCTACGTGACTTCACATAAAAGATACCGAATGTTTTGGGCCAAAGCAGAGTCGTACGCAGTTAAAATTCACACGCGCTGACCTGGTATGTCTGGTACGATGGACTTGCAATCCAGGGGGGGGGGGCAGTTGGAACAATAGTGCAAAAGTTTTACAAATGCCCCCCCCCCCCACCACATCGCCACCACCTCCTCCTCGCTCCTCTGTCCACACGAGCACCATAAACGAGTTCACCACACAGAAGGGCAGAGCTGCGATTGAGGTCGAAGAAGGTCCAGTTCATGTGTGCTGGGTAAAGTGTCGGCACTAAACATATCTATCGAAGACACCTGGTCAGTGTGTAAGAGTTGAGGATGGCCGCAAAAATAACCCTCGAGAACAGCGGTTCTGAACCTTTACTGCAGCCTGCACCACTTTGGTTCTCAGAAAGGGCATCTCGCAACCCCAGGGAGTGCGTGCACCCCCAGTTAAGAACCGCTGATCGAGAGCTCTAGAGCAGGGGTTCTCAACCAGGGTAACGCGCACCCCTGCGAGGGGGTTACATGGGCGATGTCCCAGGGCGAAACGGGAGGTGATGTATCAATGTGTGAAATTAAATCATGCACGAGAGTCATTGGTGAACAATCGCGTACGAATCCGCCGATATAAAATGACGGCGATGAAATGCAAAACCATATGGTAACCGAGCAAGACACAAAAAATACATTTATAAACTCACTGATTGTCAACAATGTGGTTTGCAAGAGTAACCAGCAAACGCGAACAAATAACATCACACGCGCAGAACGTTCGTTTAAAAGAAAATTGTATTCTTTTGCGGTTACTTAGCTAAGTTGGGATATACCTCACAAAATGGACAATTGGTTCAATTATTGATGTTCCTTGTTCATACGTTCGTTTCTCAGGACCACGTTGGGTCAGCCAAGGGGGTTACTCGGTTGAAAACTAAAATCAGCAATGGGGGTACAGGAGTAGCCAAGCAAGGTTCAGAACCACTGCTCTCGAGGGGCTCTTTAGCGATCCCTTCTCCCTGCAGTGGCGTAAGCAGAGGAGGAATCCGATGAGCTACAAAGCTCTTTTTCACAGATTTCCAGTAAGCAAGCAACTGCAGGGCGGCGCCTTTGCGTGCCAATCCGTCGTGAACACACGTTGCCATGCGCGTGTCCCCGTGCAGACATCATCCTGAATTTTCGCACCACGTTCGTCAGCAAGTCTGGCCAAGTGGTGTACGACTCACGGCTCATCTGCATGCACTACTCCACCACGTGGTTCTTCATCGACCTCATCGCAGCCCTGCCCTTCGACCTCCTCTTCGCGCTCAACATCACCGTGGTAATGCCTCCCGAGGCTTGCCCGCCAACAAAAAAAAACACATTCTGTAACGCTCGAGAGAGAGATAGCCCTCGAGGGCATTCTTCTTCGCCTTCCGAGCGACGACGGGGTTGACGGCGATGGGTTTTTATTTTTTTTTTAATCGGCCAAATAATGTGTTTTGGGCAGACCTTCGATACATTCGGCCAGAGTCCGCGCGTCGAGTTAGTTGCCGGTAGCAACGCAGCGTCCCGCATCGCATGCGAGGCAAATGACGTGGCGAGCGACGGCGAAAAAATTTCGTCTGCGTGGAAATTACGGGTATCTTGTTTTTTTTGGAGGGAAAATTCATTTCGCGGTGCGCCGCCACCTCTGATATATTCTCTGGTGCACCACGCGTTGCAATACTCGTCAAGTTATTTTGTAAAAAAAAAAAAGTTTTCCTCTCTCGCGGCCAGTCCCGAAAAAGGGGTCTCGCCGCTCACTGAATCGTTCGGCATTTTTTTCGAACGCGTCCCCCTCTCGGCGCGGCGTTAATGATCACGGCGGTGGAAATTTGTCAACGTTAAATAATGCGGGCGGCTACAAGTCGGGTAATAGCGCCGTTAATAAATGATGCACAGCGTGCGTTTACATGTGTTCATGTATGCGTTGTGAATGGGATGCGTACGCATTTCGTAAGACGCTGATTTCACTCAACCGCACAACGCAACACAATTCTCGCGGGACACCTCCTCGGGGTCGCCTTCTATCATGACCCCGCGCTGTGTTTGCGCTGGTCTTGCCCTGCCGAATCAATGTTGACGGTGGGATCAAAAAGCTCTCTGCGCTGCAGAGGCAACTGTATTTGAAGTGATACTGAGAATGAGTTTTTTTTTTACCGAAAAGTTGAAATTTGGTCTCTTGCAATTTCTTTTCGTTTTTTTATTTCCCCTCCAACATACAGTGAGGGAAAAAAAGTATTTGATCCCCTGCTGCTTTTGTACGTTTGCCCACTGACAAAGAAATGATCAGTCTATAATTTTAATGGTAGGTTGATTTTAACAGTGAGAGACAGAATAACAACAAAACAATCCAGAAAAACGCATGTCAAAAATGTTGTAAATTGATTGGCATTTTAATGAGGGAAATAAGTATTAGACCCCTCTGCAAAACATGACTTAGTACTTGGTGGCAAAACCCTTGTTGGCAATCACAGAGGCCAGACGTTTCTTGTAGTTGGCCACCAGGTTTGCACACATCTCAAGAGGTATTTTGTCCAACTCCTCTTTGCAGATCTTCTCCAAGTCATTAAGGTTTCGAAGCTGAAGTTTGGCAACTCGAACCTTCAGCACCCTCCACAGATTTTCTATGGGATTAAGGTCTGGAGACTGGCTAGGCCACTCCATGACCTTAATGTGCTTCTTCTTGAGCCACTCCTTTGTTGCCTTAAAATGCAAATCAATTTATAACATTTTTGACATGCGTTTTTCTGGATTTTTTTGTTGTTATTCTGTCTATCACTGTTCAAATAAACCTGCCATTAAAATTATAGGCTGATCATTTCTTTGTCAGTGGGCAAACGTACAAAATCAGCAGGGGGTCAAATACTTTTTTCCCTCACTGTACAAGAACAGTGGACGAAATGAAGAGTTAGCCAAAAAAGGAGGCATCTGTTGTGTTGACCACAGCGTTTCGGAACGCCTTGCCCATCAATGTTATTTGCGCGCCCACAATTCTTCATTGTGAGACTACATTAAAAAGATTATAGTCACATGATGTGTGCATAACTCAAATCACGTGGGCACTAGAGAGGGCGATCTCGAGCACAGTATAGCGTGTCATCTGTTTGCTTTTGTGTGTATAACGGATAGTTTGTGAAACATTGTTTTTGGTTTGCGATCACCTCCTTGCTGAGTAATTATCTCAATCACCGCTTTCTACTGGTGCTTCTTGATTGCAACTCTGTACTGTAGACCATGCAGCCCGTGCAGCAGCTGCGCCACATTCGGCAGCAGCAGTCCATTCAGCAGCAGCAGTCCATGCAGCAGCAGCAGCACCAGTCTATGCAGCAGCAGCAGTCCATGCAGCAGCACCAGTCCATTCAGCAGCAGTAGTCCATGCAGCAGAAGCAGTCCATTCAGCAGTACCAGTCCATGCAGCAGTAGCAGCAGTCCATGCAGCAGCAGCACCAGTCAATGCAGCAGCACCAGTCCATGCAGCACCAGTCCATGCAGCACCAGTCCATGCAGCACCAGTCCATGCAGCAGCACCAGTCCATGCAGCACCAGTCCATGCAGCACCAGTCCATGCAACAGCACCAGTCCATGCAGCACCAGTCCATGCAGCACCAGTCCATGCAACAGCACCAGTCCATGCAGCACCAGTCCATGCAACAGCACCAGTCCATGCAGCACCAGTCCATGCAGCACCAGTCCATGCAACAGCACCAGTCCATGCAGCACCAGTCCATGCAACAGCACCAGTCCATGCAGCACCAGTCCATGCAGCACCAGTCCATGCAGCAGCACCAGTCCATGCAGCACCAGTCCATGCAGCACCAGTCCATGCAGCAGCACCAGTCCATGCAGCAGCAGTCCATGCAACAGCACCAGTCCATGCAGCACCAGTCCATGCAGCACCACCAGTCCATGCAGCACCAGTCCATGCAACAGCACCAGTCCATGCAGCACCAGTCCATGCAGCACCAGTCCATGCAGGAGCACCAGTCCATGCAGCAGCGACACCAGTCCATGCAGCAGCACCAGTCCATGCAGCAGCACCAGCACCAGTCTATGCAGCAGCAGCACCAGTCTATGCAGCAGCAGCAGCACCAGTCCATGCAGCAGCAGCAGTCTATGCAGCAGCAGCACCAGTCCATGCAGCAGCACCAGTCCTTTCAGCAGCAGCACCCCATTTGGCTGCACCAGTCCATTCAACAGCAACAGCCTATGCAGCAGCAGCAGCGCCAGTCCATTCAACAGCAGCAGCAGCAGCCTATGCAACAGCAGCCCATGCAGCAGTTCCTCTCTCTCTCTCTCTCCCTCGATGCGAGCGCAGACGTCGCTGGTGCACCTGCTGAAGACGGTGCGTCTGCTGCGGCTGCTGCGTCTCCGCCAGAAGCTGGAGCGCTACTCGCAGTACAGCGCCGTCGTGCTGGCAATGCTCATGTGCACGTTCGCCCTGCTCGCCCACTGGATGGCCTGCGTGTGGTTCGTCATCGGACGCAAGGAGATGGCCGCCAACGACCCGGAGACTTGGGACATCGGTGAGAGCTTCCCCGATCCCCCTGGACCTCCGTCTGCCGCCTGCCTCTGCCACCACCCGCCCCTCCCCCCCCCCACCGGGTGCCCACGAGCAGGGCACCTCCGATTAGCACGGTTGGCCACGTACGGTGCGAAAGAAGCTCAACATACATACGAGTATGGGGTCTCAATGGGTTTTCTGTGGGTCTCTGTCGGTCATTGTGGTTCTGTACGAGTCTCTGGATCTATGTGGGTCTCTGTGAGTCTCTATCTGTCCGAGGTGAGGAAGCCACTGGAGCTATGCACTCTTTAAATAATCTATAGATGGAAAACTAATTTCTTTAGAACCGCTTTTGCCTGATTGGTTTGTTGTTTCTACCCCCGCAGCTCTGATTAGCACGGTTGGCTTCGTACGGTGCGAAAGAAGTTCGACATACACACAAACACAGCACCTCCTATTAGCATGATTGGCCACGTACGGTGCGAAAGAAGCTCAACATACATACGAGTATGGGGTCTCGAAGGGTTTTCTGTGGGTCTCTGTCGGTCATTGTGGTTCTGTACGAGTCTCTGGATCTATGTGGGTCTCTGTGAGTCTCTATCTATCCGAAATGAGGAAGCCACTGAAGCTATGCACTCTTTAAATCATCTATAGATGGAAAACTAATTTCTTTAGAACCGCTTTTGCCTGATTGGTTTGTTGTTTCTACCCCCGCAGCTCTGATTAGCACAGTTGGCTACGTACGGTGCGAAAGAAGTTCGACATACACACAAACACAGCACCTCCTATTAGCACGGTTGGCTACGTACGGTGCGAAAGAAGTTCAACATAAATACGTGCATGCTCAGTCCCGGCTAGCAGTTGTAAATTAGGATGCCAGTAGGGGACCGGTGTTTGCGATGTGGTTGGTGGGTGTCTCTTTTCTTTACGATTTGCAGGTGATTTGTGAAGTGAGGACAATTTGGAACTTGATGCTGACACACATCGCCCACAAGATATTGGCTTTGGTGGAAGGATTCAAGGGGGGCCACCCCTGACCCCCCCCCTGCCCTCACCCCCTGCCCCCCCCCACTGCCCAATTTCCCCCTATCTTCACAGCCCGGCGCGGAGGTCACAGAGGCCACAGTGGCCACGGAAATTGTGAATTTTCGACTGCGTGTATTTATGTGCGCGAGCGTGTTAGAGCGGAGCGGCTGGCGCGCTGCGCTGCGAACCCCGGCAAGCAAAGTTTGATTCCCGCTCACGGCCACCAACAGCGGTGACGATTACCGGAATCGGTCCTGGGCTCCTCCTAGGTCGACTCGGCCTCGACTCAGTACTATGGCGCAGTGTGTAAACATCGCCACGGGGGAGACAAAGGCGGCCGGGCGCGGTGTTGGCCACCCACCCCTTGTGCGTGCTGTGCCAGCCTTCACAGGTGCTTGCTAACAGCACTTGCCCCAACGGTCGCTCAAAGGCTATACAGGTATTTTTTTTTTGGTAATTGGGGTGAGGCGCCCAGGACCAGTTCAGACGCCGCTTGCCACCGCTGTTAGCCACCGCCCGGAATCAAACCAGGGCTACTGAGTCCCAAGGCGCGCTAACCACCGCGCCACCACTCCGCCCACTTTTACAGTTCGGCCAATTGACGATCCAGCGCTACTCACTAACAGCCCTTGCATAAATAAATTAAAAAAAATCCATCAGGGCTATACAGGAGAGTTGTGGGGTGGGGGGGGGTGGCGGATCTGCGTGTTTCGTCGAGCGCGTGAACCGCGTGCCGTCCACCGCGTGCCCGCCCAAGGTTGGCTGCACGAACTGGGCAAGCGGCTGGACCGTCCGTACTACGCGAACAACACCCGCGGAGGACCCAACCTACGCAGCGCGTACATCGCGTCACTCTACTTCGCGCTGAGCAGCCTCACCAGCGTCGGCTTCGGCAACGTGTCGGCCAACACGGACGCCGAGAAGATCTTCTCCATATGCGCCATGCTCACCGGGGGTGAGCCGGTCGCCGCTTCGCCCTGGCTGATTTTTGCTGATGGGACGGAATTCGGGGGGACAGCGCTGGCGGGCGAGGAAGGGGGGGGGGGTGGTCGCGTGCCGCGTGTTGTTCGATGCGATGTCCGGCGTTCCGCGCCATGTGCCACGAGCTTCTTCAGGGATTCAATTCGTGTTATGTTATCGAGTGACCCCGTGGTATTTGTAATTGTGGGTCACTTTTTTTTAATCTTAGCTATGAGAGTTTTATTTTTTTTGGGGGGGAGTTAGAAAGCGTAGATAACAAATGTGTCGTTAAACCCGTTGAAATCCGCCACCACCACCCGACACGGCCAATTAGTCGGGGGTTCGTCACGTGAACAAAACGTGCCAATTCGTTACGAGTTCAGCACAGCGGTTGCGTCGTGACGTCTCGCCGGTAAATCCAACAAGCGGCATCATCAGGGGACAGCCAAGGAGTTGTTCGAATTGTCTAAGATTCACTTCTCGTTACGAAGGAATATTCCTGGAAACTTCTTTCACTTTCACTCACCCCTAAGGCAGCGATCAATGTTGCGATGCCGAGATGCATATGCGGCGCATGCTGTCCATTATGCAAGACATAATTAAATCGTTACCAAAAAAAGTCCAAATTGATAACATCATGTAATAAATGTCTTTGTTCTAATTTACCTACGAAACAAAACTATTGACAAAAACACAACGCAATAGTTAATCGCTGTTTTAATTTCGACTTTAATCATTCATTGAATGTGATATCCGTCAAGATGAAAGTGAGCAGTGGTTATCGCGATATTTTCCAAAACAAAATTATTCGGCCCTGCTGCTGCCTTGCACGTGATGCAGACGCACAGCTAACAACAAAAACAACAACAACTCACACTGTGGCATAAATAAAAATATATTTATGAAATCGACGACGTTTCAGGCAATGGCCCCTTCTCCATAGCACATGACACATCGCCGATTCTATATATATATTTTTTAGTTCTTTCAAGGCAGTGTTGTGTTGATAGAGCGAGTTGAGTGTTTGATTTTCCATACCGAACGCTACCATCACCTTGGACCCTGCAGGGCCGCGTCGCCGCTTCGCGGCAACCTTGGCACGCGCGCTCGGTGTTGACGACGGCGTTGACGACGGCGTTGACGACGGCATTGACGACGGCGTTGACGACGGCGTTTACAACGGAGTTGACGACGGCGTTGACGACGGCGTTGACGACGGCGTTGACGACGGCGTTGCCGATGGTGACAGCGTTGACGACGGCGTTGATGACGGCGTTGACGACGGCGTTCACAACGGAGTTGACGACGGCGTTGACGACGGCGTTGACGACGGCGTTGACGACGGCGACGGCGTTGACGACGGCGTTGACGACGGCGTTGACGACGGCGTTGACGACGGCGTTGACGACGGCGTTTACAACGGAGTTGACGACGGCGTTGACGACGGCGTTGACGACGGCGTTGACAACGGCGTTGCCGATGGTGACGGCGTTGACGACGGCGTTGATGACGGCGTTGACGACGGCGTTCACAACGGAGTTGACGACGGCGTTGACGACGGCGTTGACGACGGCGTTGACGACGGCGTTGACGACGGCGACGGCGTTGACGACGGCGTTGACGACGGCGTTGACGACGGCGTTGACGACGGTGACGGCATTGACGACGGCGTTGACGACGGCGTTGACGACGGCGTTGACGACGGCGTTGACGACGGCGTTGACGACGGCGACGGCGTTGACGACGGCGTTGACGACGGCGTTGACGATGGCGTTGACGACGACGTTGCCGATGGCGACGGCGTTGACGACGGCATTGACGACGGCGTTGACGACGACGTTGCCGACGGCGTAGACGACGGTGTTGACGACGGCGTTCACAACGGAGTTGACGACGGCGTTGCCGACGGCGTTGACGACGGCGTTGCCGACGGCAGTTGCCGCCGACGACGACGACCAGCGTTGACGGCGGCGACGGCGTTGATGACGGAGTTGATGACAGCATTGACGACGGCGTTGACGACGGCGTTGACGACAGCAGTTGCCGCCGACGACGACGACCGGCGTTGATGACGGCGTTGACGGCGTTGACGACGGCGTTGACGACGGCGTTGACGACGGCGTTGTCTCGCGCTGTCCGTCCCGCAGCCCTGATGCACGCCGTGGTGTTCGGAAACGTGACGGCCATAATCCAGAGGATGTACTCTCGCTGGTCCCTCTACCACACCAAGACCAAGGACCTCAAGGACTTCATCCGCATCCACCGACTGCCCAAGCAGCTCAAGCAGCGCATGCTCGAGTACTTCCAGACCACGTGGGCCCTCAACAACGGCATCGACACGCACGAGGTCCAGTGCCCTTTTTAATTTTTATAGATAGAAGGGTGCTTCGAAAAAATGTGAACACTTCGGAGAATTTGCAACAATGAGGATATTCCAGTGGAGAATCTTTGACTTTTTTTTAGCTAATAACATGTATTTGTTATGGTACAGTGTACAGTATTAGTATCTATTTTTTTTCCCCAGTAAAAAAACGATAGTCCCATGTGCGTGTTAACATTTTTTTTGAAGCACCCTGTATTTCAGTCAGAATATTCATTGACCCTCGAGAAATCCGACGATGAACTGTGGGCAGGCTCGTGCACCCCGCTTGTGCGTTGCCCGAAGGGCCAGGCGCTGCCGAGCTGCGTTTGTGCCTCACAGGGACAGCTGCTGCTGGGGGTGCCCCTTTCAAATGCGCTGAGATGAAATTCGTACGCAGAGCGCTTATCGCGTGTACAGGCGCCGCTAAGACCCCCTGGCGTGAAGGGAGTTCTGTAACAACAACAAAAAAACGTATTAGATTAATAACATTACGTAATATCAACATAATTTTAGTAAATATAATATCGTCATATAATATCATCGGCAACTGAACAAACCGATCAGTTTAAAAAAAAAAAATTATTCCCGGGATGCGGACGCATTTCCTCGGTACCCTAGGCGCGTGCTAGCCCTATTATGATAATGATTAGTATCATAGTTGCTATTACTATGATTATTTCGGCCACCGACTCAAAACATGACAACTGAAAGTGTGGCCAGTCCCCTTCAAGCAAACCTCCTCCTTCCCCAACCCCCCTCCCCACCGCCGCGATTCCAAACCTCCCGTCGCGCCGCGAGCCCCATGCCACCCGCGGCTGACGCGACGGCCGACCGCCGCAAACTTGCGGCCGTGGTGTCCCGCTCGCGCAGCTGCTGCGCTACTTCCCGGAGGAGCTGCAGGCCGACGTGGCGCTGCACCTCAACAAGGAGATGCTGCGACTGCCCCTCTTCCAGTCGGCGTCGCGCGGGTGCCTGCGCTCACTCTCGCTGCGCGTCAAGCCATCGTTCTGCGTGCCCGGAGAGGTGAGCAAGAGGGCCAGAACCCCACCCCTCCTCCTCCTGGTATACAGGAGGTCGTCGGGATCGATCGCAGTGTTGGTGGCAGTGAGCGGAAATTGAAAGTCTGCTCGCCGGGTTCGTAGTGCAGCGCGCCGACCGCGACGCTTCCACTTGCACTTATCGGCATTCGCGTGTTCTCCCCGTGGTCGCGAGAGAAGATGATTCTTCTCGGGGACCTCCGGTTTGCATACGTAACGTACACCAATTCGCGACATGATACACGTGCCGTGCAAAGGGGCCGTCCGTACATGACGTCACGCGGTTTTGGACGATTTTTGACCGCCACCCCCCCTCCCACCTCGTCACACGGCGTCACAAAAAGTCACAAGGCTCTGCCCCCCCCCTCCCAAAAAATTAAAACGTGCTTCAAATCGCTTTAAACTATTGTCATTGTAGTGCGTATTTAATGCGGCGCTGCACTCTGATGTTGTAGGAGAAAACATTTATTGAAAAGGCTATCTAATTAAGTAGAACGTGTTGTCTATATTTATCTAAAGTTGCGCATTTTGATGTGACGTCACATTTCTCAACCCCCCCACCCCCCTCCCTCGTCACGCATCGTCACAAATGTCTGACCCCCCACCCCACCCCCAGGTGCGTGACGTCATTTATGAACGGCCCCAAACGCAAAACACCCCGATACGCAAAGTGAAATCAAATTCCTTACTGATGCTTCGTCGACCAGAGGACACGTGGTCTCCCTGTCTGTCGTGGCCTTCATAGCCGGTGGAGCGGCCGGGCGTGGTGTTTCTCCACCCCTCCGACCCTATCGTGCGTCATGCCGGCCTTAATGGGTGCTGCTGGCTAACAGCTTTCGCCCCAACAGTCTATCATAGGCTACGTGGGCGAGATCTTTGTCTTTGTGCACAGTGGTTTTTACATGTCGGCTTTCGCGGCCAATATTATTCATAATGAAGGTTATTGGGTTAGATTGCGTGTTTGTGTGTAGCGAATGGGTAGCGGTTAGCGCTACGAATCTGGCGACCCGAGTTTTGATTCCCGCTCACGGCACAACACGGGCGGCGATTATCTGAACCGGTCCCGGGCCTCCCCTAGGTCGACTCAGTCTCAAATGAGTACCTGGTGCGCTGTGTAAACGTCGTCGCTAGGGAGACAAAGGCGGCCGGGCGTGGTGCTAACCACCCACCCCCTCGTGTGCTGTGCCGGCCTTCATAGGTGTCACGCTAACAGCACTTGCCCCAACAGTCTGTTACAAGCTATGCGGGGGAGTCTTTGTTTTGTAGGTGTATATCCGAGCTAAATGAAATGTGAGCACCTCGGATTGTCTAAAGACTAGATGGCGTGGGAAAATTATCTTGGTGATAGTCGTCGTCGTTTTGCGGTGGCTTGGAGTGGTAATGTTTACAGCCGGTAAATCCTGTTGGTGGTTTTGTAAACTTGGGTTTTTTTGGTTTAATACGTAAGCTTTCGCGACCAATATTATTCATAATAAACGTTTTTTTTTTAGGTTAGATCACGTTATTTGTAAATGTGTCATAACCCTCCACCACCCGACACGGCAAATCAGCAAAAAAGTGTCACGTTGACACACCGGTGGGCCAAAGTAGCAAACTATTTTGTCTTTTGTCAACGTGACACATTTTTTGCTGATTGGCCGTGTCGGGTGGTGGAGGGTTACGACACATTTATAAATAACGCGATCTAACCCAAAAACCTTTATTATGAATTGGGATTTTTTTTCTGCCTTTGTTTGTGTGTGACGGTTGTGAGGAGCCGTGGCTCAGCGGTTCGATTCCCGCTCACTGGTGACGATCATACAACCTGGTCCTGGGCCTCCCCTAGGTCGACCCAGCCTCAAACGGGTACCTGGTGCGTTGTGTATCGATCACCAGGTGCTGGCCACTCGCTGCTGCGCGTGCCGTGCCGGCCTTCATAGTTCGCTTGCCCCAAAAGTCCGTGAAGGCTATGGGGCCGTCCATAAATGACGTCACGCACCTGGGGGGGGGGGGGTGTCAGACATTTGTAACGATGTGTGACGAGGGGGGGGGGGGGGTTAGAAATGTGACGTCACGTAAAATTGCGCAACTATAAATAAATATATAATTGTTATAACAACACTAATTGTTATATTGTTATAACAACACTCCTACAACATCAGAGTGCAGCGCCACATTAAACACGCACTACAATGACAATAGTTTAAAGCGATTTGAAGCATGTTTTTTTTTTTCAAAATGGAAATATGGTTTTGGGGGGGGTGGGGGGGGCAGAGCTTTGTGACGTCATATTTAAGGAGGGGTCTGACTTTTTGTGACGCCGTGTGACGAGTGGGTGGGGGGGGGGTCAAAAATCGTCCAGAATCGCGTGACGTCATTTATGGACGGCCCCGGTACGGTGTTGGGCACCTTTGTCTTTGTGCGTGGCAGGTGCTGCTCCGGCAAGGCGACGCTCTTCAGGCTCTTTACTTTGTGTGCTCGGGCTCCATGGAGGTGCTCAAGGACGGCACGGTGCTCGCCATCCTCGGTAACGAGCGTGCCCCACCCTCCACCCCAACCTCCCACACCGCGTTATAGGAGAGCAGGCTGTAGGATATATTGGGGGGGGGGGGCAGGGGGTGATCCTTGTCTCTCTCTCTCTCGGCTGGGGAGCCGGACAAGCCCCTCTCTGTACCAGCGTGGACGGCACACCCCACGTGTTCACCATCTGAAGCGTTCGCTCGTCACCGTGACGTGCGCGATGAACACCACCACCATCACCACCACGTGACTTTTCTTTCGTGTTGTGCGCGGTGCATTAAGCGCCACAGCGCGTGGATGTACAGTAAACACCTTGGATTGCGAGTAACTTGGTCTGCGAGTGCTTTGCAAGACGAGCAAATTTTTTTTAAAATAAATATTAATTTGATAAACGAGCGAGGGTCTTGCAATACGAGTAGTAGTACGTGTACACGCTTTGTACTGCCGAGCGTCACGTGATCACAACTGATACACGAGCGCTTTGATATACGAGTGCTTTGGATCGCAGACACGTTTTCGGAACGAATTATGCTCCCAATCCAAGGCTTTACCGTATTATGCTTGTTCATCTGTGTTGTTTTTAAAAGGCAAAGTCTCTCGGTTGCCACAGGGAAGGGAGACCTCATCGGCTCGGACCTGACCGTCATTGATGAGGTGGTGAAGACCAACGCCGACGTGAAGGCCCTCACGTACTGCGCCCTGCAGTGCATCGGCCTGCGAGGCCTCTACAACGTCCTGTCGCTCTACCCCGAGTATGCGTGCCACTTCCTCAGGGACCTTCAGAACGACCTCACCTACAACCTGCGGCTGGGACACTTCCACCCGGTGAGTCACGCCCGGCGTTTTCGTTTGCTTTGCTTTTTTTTGTGGTCCTCCTGAAATTATTTGTTAAATTTTCCCGTTATTTTCTGGTTGCACACCAAGCAACCGCTACCACCACCACGACGACGACGAAACGCAGCGTCGTCAAATACCTCTCGCTCCATACGAAACTTGAAGCTCGCTTGCTCGCTCGCTCGCTCGCTCTCTCTATCTCAAGCCTGCAGCTTCATTCAAGATGTTTAGTTTTTTTTTGTAATTCTCCCCGTTCACCTGTGGTCCTGCAGCGTCCTTCAAGAGGTTTTGTTGCCATAAAAAAGGCGAAAAAACCTATTGTCATATTTTGGTACTGGCAAAAAGGAGGACCCGTGATGTGGATGCTCGACCCGAGCTCTCATTACTCTGATAGTGGCGTTGTGTTTTGTGCTGTGTTCGCCTTTTGGCGTCCACTTGGTCTAACACCGTTTGAGACGAGGCTCAAAAGAAAGCTGTCGCTGGTGCGGACCAATCAGTTTCAAAGACAATGCATTTATTATCAGAGTGGTTTTTTTTTTGCATTCTGACCACAAGCAGTGGTTAATGCAAACATGATTCCTTGTAAAAAGTTTCAGTTTGGTGTTTTAACATCTTAACGCCTAAATTTTGATTTAAAGCTTTCGTGACTGCAGGGATTCATATTCTTGGTTCTTTCGGTAAAGTCACGTAGAAGGGAAACAATAAAATAATTAAATTAAATTAAAAATTCTAATTCTCTTGCTGTGGTTTTCACACCTGATGATGATTGCTTGTGTTGCAGTCGAAACGTCGTGAGAATTTTATTGTTTCACATTTTTATTATCGTAACACCTGTTTTGTTGCCAGAAAAAAGGGGAAAACCCTATTAACAAGTTTAGTTGCCTTTGATATTTTTTTTTTAATTCCTCCCCTCGCCCTTTCATTGTTTTTCTTCTCGTTATCCCGTTCACCTGGGGTCCTGCAACGTCTTGAAGAAAAATAGAATTCAAAGCAACGCGAGGAGAACTTAAAAAAAAAACTTATTGAAAGGAGCTGAAGGCTTGCGAGCGAGCCAGCTCCAGGTTTCCGTATGAAGCGAAAGGTATTTCGCGACGTTTCTTTGGCGGTGGCGGCGGCGGTGGTGGTGGTGACGCGTAAGCTGAATGCCGAAGTCGAGGTCTGCTGCTGCTCCTGCTGCTGCTGCTGCTGGCCACGACGAGAGGGCTTCAGCAGAGGGAGTTGAGAGAATTTGGCTGCTATAAATGTCCGCGTGATGAGCCACTTTGTTTGAGTGATCATTTGTAACGAACAAAAAATTCGGACCGCGAAAACCAGCGCCAACGGCCGACTCTTTTTTCATTTCAAACGACGTCCACTGCGGAGCAGACGGTGCGCACGTCGCGAGCAACACAGCGGAGATGTTAACTACCTCGCCTGGTATACAGGAGGTCGTGCGTTCGATCCCGACCCTGACGCCTGCTGCTGTATATTTTAAGTTTGCGAGTTTCTCTCTCTCTCATCATCATCACGGTGGCCAGGAGATGTTAACTACCTCGCCTGGTATACAGGAGGTCGTGGGTTCGATCCCGACCCTGACGCCTGCTGCTGTATATTTTAAGTTTGCGAGTTTCTCTCTCTCTCATCATCATCACGGTGGCCAGGAGATGTTAACTACCTCGCCTGGTATACAGGAGGTCGTGCGTTCGATCCCGACCCTGACGCCTGCTGCTGTATATTTTAAGTTTGCGAGTTTCTCTCTCTCTCATCATCATCACGGTGGCCAGGAGATGTTAACTACCTCGCCTGGTATACAGGAGGTCGTGGGTTCGATCCCGACCCTGACGCCTGCTGTATATTTGAAGTTTGCGTGTCTCTCTCTCTCTCTCATCATCATCACGGTGGCTAGGAGATGTTAACTACCTCGCTCGGTATACAGGAGGTCGTGCGTTCGATCCCGACCCTGACGCCTGCTGTATATTTGTAGTCTGCGTGTCTCTCTATCTCTCTCCCCGTGGTGGCGTGGATTTTTCTCCGGGTCCTCCCGGTTTTTCCTTCCACATTTTAGAATCGGCGTCGCGCGTTTTAGAATGTTTGGCTGCTATACATTTCCACGTGATGATGATGATGATAAGCCCACCTCGTTGAGCTATCATTTGTGATAGCCACGTCGCTTCTTACACAAATAGATATTTATAACTCAGTGGGCCCTTTCCTGGTAAAGTAAAAAAAAAACAATGTGTTGGTTTAATAGTGAAGCAAAACCTAGCCGCTGTTTTCTTCCCCTGGTGCTGGCGGAGGTGGGGGCCTGTGGGGAGGGGCGGGTGGGGGGTTGGGTTACACGCGATGGGGGAATGGGGGGGGGGCTGTACATGTAATGAGAACGTCGCTTCCCATCGCTAACAACCGCCCCCACCTCCTTCCCCCCACCACCCTCCCCGCTTCCCCCCACCACCCCGTCCACCCCCACCTACTCGCTCCCTGCCTATCTCCCCCCCACCTCCCCGCTCCCCCTACCTCCCTGATCCCCCCAACCGCCCCCCCCACCTCCCCCCCACACCTCCCTGCTCCCCCCCCCCCACCGCCCTCCTCCCCCCGCCTCCCTGCTCTCGCTGCTACTGCTCAATGCAGTTTCCTTCAGCCGGTTTTGGTGATCCGATGGGACTCGCCCTGGAACGCGCGCGATTCGCTCAGCGTGCGTGCGTGCGTGCCGGTACACGAGCCGTGAACCTATTGTAGGGCGTGCGGAGGTTGGCGGCTTTGTCATTTGATGAATTTGGCTCAGTCGATCGCCTTCATATCTCTCTCTCTCTATCTCTCTTTTTATTTTTTTTATTTTCTGCGATCAGAGGAAACAAGAAGATGCTCGGTGTAGTCGGCACTTTGCTTCGTTCATCATTTCGGGGTTTTTTTTCGGTTTTTTATGCTTTGCTTTATGTCACCCCCCCCCCCTCCCCACCCCTTTCAAATGAAAGATTTCACGAAAGATTTCACGTTCTGCTCTCCTTACCCCTTCCCTCTCTCTCTACCCCCCTCTCTGCCCCCTCCCCTCGCTCTCTCTACCCCCTCTCTCCCTACTCTATGTCGCTCTCTCTCTTGCTCTCTCTCTCTCGCATCTCTCTCTCTCTCGCATCTCTCTCGCTCTCTCTCTCGCTCTCTCTCTCGCATCTCTCTTGCTCTCTCTCTCTCGCATCTCTCTCTCGCATCTCTCTCTCGCTCTCTCTCGCTCTCTCTCTCTTGCTCTCTCTTTTGCTCTCTCTCTCTCTCGCATCTCTCTCCCCCCGCGCGTCTCATGTGTGAGCGCTCTGATATCATTCGAGGAACGCTCGCGCGGTTAATGCGCGCGCTCTGCGTGTGTGTCCCGTGCCGTGCCGTGCCGGCCTTTGAAGGTGCTACTCGCCAACGGCGCTTGCCCCAACAGTGGGTTAGCGCGCCGGGCTACCAGCCCGATCACCCCGGTTCGATTCCCGCTCACGGCCACCACCAGTCACGATTTCATCTGAACGGTCCCCTGAGCCTTTCCTAGGTCGACTCAGCCCACATGAGTACCTGGTGCGGTGTGTAAACTTCGCCACTGGGGAGAAAAAGGCGGCCGGGCGCGTGACACTGAGCATAAATGCATACACGCTCATCCGCATGCATACAAAGACAAATACCCCCCGTATAACCTTAACAAACTTTTGGGGGTAAGTGCTGTTAGCGAGCACTTACGAAGGCCGGCACGGCACACGAGGGGGTGGGTGGCCAGCACCACGCTCGGCTGCCTTTGTCTACCCATTGGCGATGTTTACACACCGCACCAGGTACTCATTTGAGGCTGAGTCGACCTAGGGGAGGCCCAGAACCGGTTCAAATAATCGTCACTGTTGTTGCCCGTGAGCGGCAAATTTTACTCATAGCGCAGTGCGCTAACCGCCACACAAACGCATGCACACACACACATATACAAGCACACGCAAGCACAGAAACACATGCACCCCCCAAATATATGCACACATGCACAGGCATGCACACGCACTCACACACGCAAACAGATGTGCACTTACACGCACGTGCATGCACACACGCACACAGATGTTCACACCTACGCACATGCATGCAGGCTCACACGCGCATACACACACACGCAAACAGATGTGCACTTACACGCACGTGCATGCACACACGCACACAGATGTTCACACCTACGCACATGCATGCAGGCTCACACGCGCATACACACACACACACACGCAAACAGATGTGCACTTACACGCACGTGCATGCACACACGCACACAGATGTTTTCACACCTACGCACATGCATGGAGGCTCACACGCGCATACACACACACACACACGCAAACAGATGTGCACTTACACGCACGTGCATGCACACACGCACACAGATGTTCACACCTACGCACACGCATGCAGGCTCACACGCGCATACACACACACGCAAACAGATGTGCACTTACACGCACGTGCATGCACACACGCACACAGATGTTCACACCTACGCACATGCATGCATGCATGCACACACACACACGCATGCACGCACACATTTGCAATCACGCACGTACAAAGATGTAATCTTTTTTTTTTACAATGTTTCATAAATCTCAAACATAATTTCCCATTCCAAGACCTCCTCGTCTTTCGCTCGTCTCCGCCAGCCCGCACGCACATCGTGGAGATAATAATTGGCTTAGAATGCGGGCGTTAATTGCCTGATGTGGAAACGCAAACCGTGTAAGGGTGCAACCACCCCTCCCTTCCCAACCCAACCCAAACCACCCGGGCGAGATTTAAAATCCAGTGCCGCGGAGCTGAAATGACGTTGTTGGGGAGAATTTCAAGATGAGTCGACAGAGACCGTTCCGGACGAGAAAAAATGCCGTCGGTTGACATCGGTTTGAGAGGGCGCGCACTCCCCCTCGTTTCACTCGTCGAGGTGTACAGGATAAGAAACCACAGCGAACGATCACGTTAAATGTATTCGTTTTTTTTAATCATCGCTCTTCGCGTGAAATAATTTCTACACGGAGAATTACGGAAAATGTTTGGCACGTAAACAATTTACGTCTGTGAGCATTGTATAATTGGCATCCGATTTATTTATTTTTTTACATTGTGAAATGAAAACTGGGAAGTGAAATGTGAAGAAAAAAACCCATCAAATGTTCAGATCTGATTTCAGATTTTTTTTAATCCCCCTTTAATTAGTGCCTCCATTTCAGACGGAACAGTCCGGAACATTATTCCATTGGCTCTCCACATCCATCTATCAGTGGGTCTATCATGCATCCAATATTTGTTGTGTAAACCTGTGCATAGGATTAGCGGCAGATGGGACGCTCTTCCATTCCATTATTAGAAAGCCACAGGCGCTATGCGCACTTTTTAATCAACTGGATTGAAAACGAATTTCTTTACGGCTGCTTTTTGTGTTTAGTTCGTTGTCCTTCCACCGTGCCTCCGATTAGCATAGTTGACTACGTACGGTGCGAAAGAAGTTCAACATACATACATACATAGACTCACACAGAGACGCATAGACTCACACAGAGACGCATAGACTCACACAGAGACCCATTGACTCACACAGAGACCCATAGACTCACACAGAGACCCATAGACTCACACAGAGACCCATAGACTCACACAGAGACCCATAGACTCACACAGAGACGCATAGACTCACACAGAGACCCATAGACTCACACAGAGACCCATAGACTCACACAGAGACCCATTGACTCACACAGAGACCCATAGACTCACACAGAGACCCATAGACTCACACAGAGACCGATAGTTCGTTGTCCTTCCCCCCGCTCCTCGTATTAGCACGGGTCGCTACATATACTGTGAAAGAAGTTCAACATACGTACACATACAGAGTGAAAAACAACAACAGTATCGGGTATTTTTCTTCCAAGCCAGCTTGGATGAGGGAATAGCGTGCTGGTGAGATGTTAACCCACTCGCCTGGTATGCAAGAGGTCGTGGGTTCTATTCCAACCCTGACGCCTGTACATTTGGAGTTTGCGTGTCTCTCTCTCCCCACGGTCACGTAGTTTTTTTTTCTTCGTGTCCTCCGGTTTTCCCCTCCACATTTTTAGAAATACGCGCTTAGGCTGTTCCTCCGCCATACATTTCCACGCGATAAGACACCACTTCGTTGAGCTAATCATTTGTGATGGCCAGGTCGCTTCCGAGAAAGAGCTACGTAGCCGCTCAGCGGTGGGGCATTTACCTGGTCAAAGTAAAGTAAAATAAAATAGTTGTTAGTTTTTAGCTTGGTGGCGAGTGTTGCTGACATTAATCGAGACGAGCGGAGAACCGAGCGCCTGCTGAGTTACCCGCGAGGGACTTTGACGCGGCGCGCGTTCGGATGCCGCCCTCTCGCCGCAGCACAACGATGACCGGGGCGCCTCGATGCACGCGAAGCTGCCCTCCATCGTGGAGGACGAGGAGGAGGATCTGGACGACGCGGAACTCTCCCTGCTCACACCGGACTCGTCTTTCTCCAGGGAGAAGACCCTGAACGGTCAATCGTCGGCCTCCCTCCAGGTCGGAGTCAAAAGCGGCTCGGCAGCTAACCGTACGGCGGTGACGCAGCCGAGTGTTTACCGCTCGAAGTAGAGGGTTTGTGGTTCAAGGCCCTGGCCGCCCTGGTTAATACTTCCGATGTATGTATGTTGAATTTATTTCGTACCGTACATAGCCAACCATGCAAATCAGAGGTGTGGGAAATACAGTATATTAAATTAAACTAAACAATTGTTTTTGCACCAGGTAAGGCCCACTGACCTATCTAGAAGTGACCTGGCAATCACAAATGATAGCTCAACGAAGTGGCTTATCATAACGTGGAAAATTATAGCAGTAGCCAAAGACTCTAAACTCACGTGGATTCTAAATGCAGAGGGAAAAAAACGGAGGACCCGGAGAAAAAACATATACGCCACCTTGGGGAGAGAGAGAGAGAGAGGCACGCAAACTCCAAATATACAGCAGCAGGCGTCAGGGTCTGGATCGAACCCACGACCTCCTGTAGACCAGGCGAGGTGGTCAACATCTCCTAGCCGCCGTGTTAACCGTGACGCGCGGCACAGTCATCTTCTTCAGCAGACGTCGTCCGGGGAAGAGCGTTGGCGCCGGTCGTCGTGGTCCCGAATTGGGAAAAAAATAATGACTTGGACATTTACTTAATTGGAACAACCGAGAACGTCATCGCCCTCTACTGGCAGACGAGGCCAACTTGTATACGGGGCTCAAGCGAACGTTTCGCGGTGTGTACCCAGAGCTCCCTTGGGAACGTGTGGTGCAGGATCCCCTCGCTATTCGCGATGAGGGACACGTTCAGGAGATGCTCGTGAATAGCAAATTTCGCGGGTAATGTTATCGGCCTACGAATAAATAAATAAATATAAATGCGCGAGTGAGCGATTAAACACGTGGCAATTATAATAACGCGAAAAATTGTTGATAACATTCAAGCAAATACAAATACATTCTTGAAGTATTGAATATTACTTTAAATTTTATCTCGTCGCTTTCTCGCATCACTCCCCCTCGCTCGCGACGCAGTCACGTAGACTCCCAGACGCGATTCGCGGGTAGCCAAAATCGCCGACGTAGCAAGCTCGCGAACGACGCGGCGAACGCCGAATCGTCGCGGCAATTCAACCGCCGGTCGACAGCCAGCAGTCGCCGCGGCCCCGCAGAGCTCGTCGGGAGGTGCCACGACCCAGGCGAACTTTGCCCCCTCCCTCCCCGCAGGTGCCGCCGACGTTCCCCGGCCCGCTGAGCTACGGCCGACCTCCCGTCGCCTCGCCGCCCCTCCGCTCGCACGTCTGGGGCTCCCGCCATCCGCCCGCCGCGGGCGACGGCGTTGCCCCCACTCCTCATTCTCCGACGCCGCGGACGCTCCGGCCGCCCTCCGACCCCCAGACGGAACCGGCCCAGGCCGGCTGCTCCGGCCCGCGCTGGGACGCGCGACGCCCGTCGCTCGAGCAGCCCTTCGCGCCGGCGCGGGAGCCCACGGGCGGCGGCGGCGGCAGCGGCGACGCGTGGCTTTGCCAGAAGCGGAGCCCGTGCCTCCTGGAGCCGACGCGCCAGTGGCCTCCGCACGGGGCGCAGCAGCAGCAGCTGATGCCAGGCGGTTACCTCGGCGATGCCGAAGCGTGGAGGAAGCCGTGCCACCTGCAGATCCCCGTGCCGACGTCGCCGGCGCTCTCCGATCTCAGCCCACGGTGAGCGGTTGCGCCGGCGTCGCTCGATCGCTCTCGATCGATCGGACGACTCGTTCGATTTTTGTTTTTTTTTATCCGCACGGATAGATCGAAGAGGTCGTTGTCGTACCGCCACCGGCTGTCCTGTCCACACCACAGCATGAAGCCTACGGCACATGACAATCCCACGGAGTCTCCCATCCGGGTGTAACCAGGCTCGGCTTTTGAGACCCGGCGAGATGGGGAGCACTCAGTGTGGTTCTGGTAGTGTGGTGGTGGGTGCACGTCCAAAAGACATTCGTCGTCATCGTCATCGGCCGTGGTCAGTCCACTGCTGTATGAAGGCCTTCCCCGAAGCCGCCGCCACCCCTCGCAAGTCCGTGACGCAATAATCTACGAGTTCATCACTCCATCTCCTCGATAGACGTCCTCTCTGCTGATGCCCTTCACCACAGTTAATTTTTCTTTACATTGAATCAATTCTTAAACCACAGCAATTAATTGAATCGGCACGAACCTTTTTTGCTTCTCTTTTTTTTTAAATCCCCAAAAATCTGCAAAGGTGATTGAATTATAGACCGTTTGCAGCCCACTCGAATGAAAGAGGCATTAACATTTGGTTGCATGCACGGTTTGGACTAGAAAGTGACGTGCAAATGCACATAACAAGCCCCATATTCATCATAGTATTATTATGATTATGAACATAGCTTGGCGCTAAATATAATTTTAATGAAACACCGTGGTGTGTGATTTGCCGCTGGCAGATGTTGTGTTGTTAAACGCGAGCTGTTACTCCTGGCACGTGTGGCTGGATAATTGCTCGCGTGCTGTGCCGTGCACGACGTGGCTGGCACGGTGGTGAGATGTTAACTACCTCGCCCGCTATACAGGAGGTCGTGGGTTGGATTCCGACCCTGACATCTGTTGTTTTCTTGGAGTTTGCGTGTTTTCCCCGTCATCGCGTGGATTTTTTCTCCGGGCCCTGCGGTTTTTCCCTCCACGTTTGTAACCAACGTGCGTGTTTAGAGTATTTGGCTGCTATAAATGTCCACGCGATGATAAGCCACTTCATTGAGCTATCATTTGTGATAGCCAGGTCGATTCTGAAGAAGTGCTATATAGCTCAGTGGGACCTTAAACCTGGTAAAATAAAAAAAATAGTTTAGTTTTAGTGTCATCACCTCTCCTGTCATCCGTTCAGAAGGTGGTCTCATGATGCGTTCCCTGGCTAAAAAATAATAACATGGGTTGCAATTCATATCCTCCCCTTAATGCCCCCGATATCAATAGATCCTCGCAGCGGCTTTTGGCGGCTGGCCAGCGAACAAAGAACGGTGGTCACCGCATCGCGCGGCGCTTTCAGATGCGCTCCTGCGGCCGTCTGGAACGATCTTCCTTCCGATAGCAGGAAGCCACTGGTAGCTGTGCACTTTTAAATCGTCATCTAGATTGAGAACTCATTTCGTTCGAACTGCTTTTTGTGTGTTAGTTCGCTGTCCTTCCCCCCCCCCCAACCCCCCGCCCTCCCACACCTCCGATTAGCACGGTCGGCTACGTACCGTGGCAAATAAGTTCAGCGCACGTGCGCGTTACTGTAACGAAGTGAACCGTTGATCTTTTCTCTCTCCTTGAAGAAGATGTTGTGAAGTTGTTCTCAGCGAAGGCGACGCCCCGTCCGTAGGATATTGAATTTGGGAGACAGCGGAAAAGGAAGCGCGCTTTTGGCGACGCTCTCCGTTCTTACGACCAATTATGCATTCGCGCGACGCCATAGCAAGGCTAAACGTGTTATCGTACGTGCTGTAGGTGCTCGCCACAATTCATCGTGATTTCGCAATTAAATTATTACGCGTTAAATCGTGGAGGGGTAACATTACACATGTTAGGCACACAGTTTTTCTTGCTTTTAGACGTTCTGATTCGCTGAAAAACCCTAAGAAATCGGCGAATTTTCACCATGGCGTTGACAACTTTATTTGTTTTGCCGGCTCCTGTCAGGTGGTGGAGGGTTCTCGTGAAATCTGCATTCCACCTCCTTACGATCTTACTCGAAAATTAATTATACATTTTGTCAATCAATTCCGTGAGCAAACCAGACACCGCTTTAGATCCCTCCACCACCCCCCCCCTAAAGAAATCTTCCTGATGTAACGTAATACGGGATGGATTGCTGCACGATGCGTAAGCGCTGGGTCAATTTTGTAATGAGCCGAGCGAGCCGTTTAAAATGTCTCCGAGCACAGTCTGACATTTGAGAAATGGCAGACTGATCTTCTTTCTCACCCTATATAATCGTGTCGGTACCTAGATGTAATAGTAGTAATAATAATAAAAATAAAAATGTATGAAGCGGTCCTTATACGATCGTTCTCAAGGCGCTATGCCATGGAATTTGGGCAGAAAATAGTTTAACGTCATCCGACGAAAGAAGAGGTGAGAAAGACGTTAGAAATTAACCAAAGAGAGAGAGAGAGAGAAAAACATTTTAACCAGATACGTTTATAGTCGAGATTTGAAGATTTGTAAGTGCTTTGGAAGTCGTCGCCTCGAATGGGGCAACGAGTTACAGAGTTAAGGGGCCGTCCATAAATGACGTCACGCACTTGGGGGGGGGGGTCAGACATTTGTGATGATGTGTGACGAGGAGGGGGGGGAGTTGAGAAATGTGACGTCACATCAAAACGCGCAACTTTAAATAAATATAGACAACACGTTCTACATAATTAAATAGACTTTTTAATAAATGTTTTCTCCTACAACATCAGAGTACAGCGCCACATTAAATACGCACTACAATGACAATATTTTAAAGCGATTTGAAGCATTTTTTATATTTTTTGGGGGGGGGGGGAGCATAGCTTTGTGACGTAATACTTGAGGGGGGGGGGGCGTCTGACTTTTTGTGACGCCGTGTGACGAACGGGGAGGGGGGTGGTCATAATCGTCCAAAATCTCGTGACGTCATTTATGGACGGCCCCTAAGGCGCCATCCACCACCCCGAGTACGAGGCCTAGAGGCCGTGGTGACAGTGAGCGACGCACAGTCTGAGGATCTTCACGATCTTGATGGAACATACGTGTTGCCGAAAGGGAGTCCATGAATGTAGGGAGGAGAAAGTCAATTTAAGGCCTTGAATACCGGCAAGAGAATCTTAAAACCAATGCGGGTCCAGGCAGGGAGCCAGTATTACCAAAAATGCTCGTGATTTAACACGTCGATTGTGAAGATTCATGCGGAAATTAATTTGTGATCTTACAGGATAGCACAATTGTTTACAGTGTGGAGGTGTGTGTGTGTATGGGGCCCTGGGGAATGGTCGTGCAAGCGGTGAGCGCACTGCACTACAGGCGCAGTGACCCGAGTTTGATTCCCGCTCTCAGCCAACACCAGTGACGATTATCTGAACGGGTCCTGGGCCTCCCCTAGGTCGACTCAACCTCAAATAAGTGGTGTTTGAACATCGCCACTCGGGAGACAAAGGCAGCCGGGCGTGGTGCTGGCCACCCACCCCCTCGTGTACCGTGCCGGCTTTCCTAGGTGCTCGCTAACAGCACTTGCCCCAACAGTCTCTTACAGGCTATACGGGGGATCTTTGTGTGTGTGTTTGGCCCTGAGCGAGGTGTACGTGTGCGTGCCGAAGTGAGAGCGGTTATGAACCCGGCGTGCCCCGAGTTCGATTCCCGTTCACGGCTAACACCAGTGGCGGACATCCTGGGCCCTCCCTACGTCGACTCAACCTGGCCGTGCGCAACACATCAGCCCATGGCGAGACAAAGACGGCCAAGCACGGCACTGTAGGCCAGCGGTCCCCAACCTTTTGGGCACCAGGGCCCGGTTTCGTGGAAGACAAATTTTTTCACGGACCTGGGGCGGGCCGGGGTCATCATTGGGTCTTTCCCCCTTTTCAAAGAAGCTCTCTGGCGACGTTTGTTCGTTACTCATTGTGGCTACTAGGGGTTAGAGCTTGTGGGCTTACTCATTGTGGCTACTAGGGGTTAGCTTGTGGGCTTACTCATTGTGACTACTAGGGGTTACAGCTTGTGGGCTTACTCATTGTGGATACTAGGGGTTAGCTTGTGGGCTTACTCATTGTGGCTACTAGGGGTTAGAGCTTGTGGGCTTACTCATTGTGGCTACTAGGGGTCAGCTTGTGGGCTTACTCATTGTGGCTACTAGGGGTTAGCTTGTGGGCTTACTCATTGTGGCTACTAGGGATCAGCTTGTGGGCTTACTCATTGTGGCTACTAGGGGTTAGAGCTTGTGGGCTTACTCATTGTGGCTACTAGGGGTCAGCTTGTGGGCTTACTCATTGTGGCTACTAGGGGTCAGCTTGTGGGCTTACTCATTGTGGCTACTAGGGGTCAGCTTGTGGGCTTACTCATTGTGGCTACTAGGGGTCAGCTTGTGGGCTTACTCATTGTGGCTACTAGGGGTTAGCTTGTGGGCTTACTCATTGTGGCTACTAGGGGTTAGCTTGTGGGCTTACTCATTGTGGCTACTAGGGGTTAGCTTGTGGGCTTACTCATTGTGGCTACTAGGGGTTAGCTTGTGGGCTTACTCATTGTGGCTACTAGGGGTTAGCTTGTGGGCTTACTCATTGTGGCTACTAGGGGTTAGAGCTTGTGGGCTTACTCATTGTGGCTACTAGGGGTTAGCTTGTGGGCGTACTCATTGTGGCTACTAGGGGTCAGCTTGTGGGCTTACTCATTGTGGCTACTAGGGGTTAGAGCTTGTGGGCTTACTCATTGTGGCTACTAGGGGTTAGAGCTTGTGGGCTTACTCATTGTGGCTACTAGGGGTTAGCTTGTGGGCTTACTCATTGTGGCTACTAGGGGTTAGCTTGTGGGCTTACTCATTGTGGCTACTAGGGGTTAGCAGCTTGTGGGCTTACTCATTGTGGCTACTAGGGGTTAGAGCTTGTGGGCTTACTCATTGTGGCTACTAGGGGTTAGCTTGTGGGCTTACTCATTGTGGCTACTAGGAGTCAGCTTGTGGGCTTACTCATTGTGGCTACTAG